AACAGTATTGGTGAGTTTCAAACTGAGGTAATTTTTATTCAAAAGCCCCCAAAGCTCTGCAGACCATGAAGTACGACTTTCTGGTTTGCTTTTGCAGTGTTGGGTTTAGTGCTAGGGGCTGAACCCAGGGCCTTGCTCGTATTAGGCAGGTACACAACCACTAAGCTGCATCTCCAGATCTTTTTTACTCCTTAAATTTTGAAACAGGGTTCCACTAAGTTGCCTGAGCCAGTCTTGAATTCACTGTATAGCCCAGACTGGCTATACAGTGGTCCTCCTGCCTCAGATTCCTGAGTAGAGAGGATTATAGGCCTATGCTACCAGGCCTGGCTTTTTAATTTGAATTCTTTTGTTGTTGTTGGGAGTTTTCATTGAAACCCAGTCAGCTTTGTAATATGCTTCTGACATTAAGCAATCCTGTATTTCTTTTTTTTTTTTTTTTTTTTTTTTTTTGGTTTTTTCGAGACAGGGTTTCTCTGTGTAGCTTTGCACCTTTCCTGGATCTCGCTCTGTAGACCAGGCTGGCTTCGAACTCACAGAGATCCGCCTGCCTCTGCCTCCCGTGTGCTGGGATTAAAGGTGTGCGCCACCACTGCCCGGCAATCCTGTATTTCTTAAGTGGTCTCATGATACTTGTTATGTAGTTTAGCCTGACTTTGAACTCAAGAGATCCACCTGCCTCTGCCTCCCAAGTGCTGGAATTAAAGCCATTAAAGCCACACCTAGCCCCATATACTAATTCTTAAAGTGTCTTCCCAGAAGTGACACATTTCACCTTCATTCACATGTCTTTAGTCAAAGCAGGTTCCTTCAATGGACTGGGGAAGGGCACACTACTACCACATGACTGAAAGGAAGCCATTTCCTTGGCACCCTCCTGTTAATCACTCTTCTACTTTCTATAGTTTTATCTTTTCCAGAACGTACTATAAATGAACTCAGTGTGTAGACTTTTATGTTTAGCTTAAAGAAATGTATTTGTGTATTTTTGTGTCAGTGTATGTATGTGTACCACGTGCATGCAGGAGCCCAAATAGGTCTGAAGGCATCAAATCCCCTAGAACTGGAGTTACAGGCAGCTGTGGGCTGTCATGTGGATGCTGGGAATAGAACCCATGTCCAAGTGCAGTGAGTGTTCTTGACTGCTAAGCCATGTTTCCAGCCCACCCAGCTTTCTTTTCTTTTCTTTTCTTTTTCACTTAACACAATGCTTCTGAGACTTAGCCTTACCGCTGCATCTCTGCCTGTTATAATAATGTTTTTTTTTAATTGCTTGGTGAGACTCAATTGCATAGTTATTCCACAACTCTACAGGGTGTACAACCTTTGGACACTGGAATACAATGCTTCCTCTACAAATGTGTTGAGCTGTATGCACATCTATCCTGGGATGTGTGTGGTCCGTGGACTACAAGTTTGACATGTCTGGTAGTCTCCCTCTCTGTCTCCCTCTGTCTCTGTCTCTCCATCTCTGTCTCTGAGATAAAGCCTTGATAGGAACCTCAGTCTGTCCTCTGACTCATGATGTAGTCTAGGCTGGCCTTCAACATGCTGTCATATCTCTGCCTCAGCCTCCAGTGTGCTAAGATTATAGGTACAAGCCACCATTCCCAGCCCAGGGCCTTTGATTTTAAAGTATTTTTTATGATTCATGTACCCACTAACCCATCCTTACTTTAGTAATTTCTTACTAGCTGTGGGTCAGACCTTGAGCATAGACTATCAGACAAGACTATACTGCTGTCAGTCCTCACAGTTATGATTCTGAGCTAATTGGTCCCTTTACATTGAGTTTGGGAGCGGGGGCAGGCTATGGAAGTGAAGGGGCCAAGCTCAAGACTCCAGGGACAGTGAATAGTGGCATCCAGTGCTCCATGTTCTTCCTTCTTTTGGTGACAGGAGGTTCTTTTTCACCAGAACCAAAATGCATCATTTCTTGATAGTTATATAAAATGATTTCATATGAGTTTTTAATCTTTGCAACTTCTGTAAGGCAGAAATTATTATCCTATTCTACCGACCAGGATATGGAGGTTCAGATGCTGTGGTAGACTCAGGCCTGCCAGGGTCATTTGGAAAGAAATAGCAGGGATGTATAGAAGAATGTCTTATGCCAGCTGATAGAGATGAATGATTTTATAAAGCCAGTAAAAACCAGCATAGACATTCACTCTTGGTATGGCTCTGTTGTTCACTATGCCGAGGGTTGCATGATGTCATAATGCTGTTATTAGAGCTGAAAGCTGCCATGGCCTTCACCTACCAACATGGGAGGACTCTGCCCGGGAGGATCACTTCACCACTATACCCAGGCTCTGCTCCCTAAGCTGGAAAACATGACTGTGAGTGCTGAAGTCTTCAGGCTGAGAGTCTGAAGACACTTGGAGAAGGTTCCTTCCCAGCAAATCAAACCCTGGGGCAGAGGCTCAGGCAGGGCAGAGACAAGAGTGGGCTAAACATGCAGCCTCACTTGACATGTGGACAAAAGCCTTCCCATCTGGGCTTTGAAACAGTTATCAAAATGTAGTCACAGAAGCCAAGATGTAGAAATAACCTTAGTGTCCACTAATGGCTAAAGAAACTGGTATATATATATATATATATATATATATATATATATATATATATATATATATATATATATATATATATATATGTATATATATATATATATATGTATATATATATATATATATATAATGAATATTATTTAGCACTAAAATAGGGGAGAGGGTTCTTCTATTTTGAGTTGTGTAGAACTGGGGAGAATAGTATAGTAAGTGAAACAAGCCAGGCAGAAAGATAAAAATTGCATGACCTTACTTACATGCATGCATTAGCGTGCATTATACGTGTGTGTTCACTGCTATTATGAAAGATCTGAGGACGAACACAAAAGAGATTGCCAGGCGTGGTGGCCCAAGTCTGTAATCTCGGTGCCCAAGAGACCAAGGTGGGAGACGTCTGGGTTTGACGCTGGCCCCCCATATTTCAAAAAGTGAAAAAAGATGAAGAGAAAAAGGGATGGGGAGAGAAGAATGATGGGGGGAAGGGGGAGAGGGAGAGGGAGAGGGAGAGAGAGGGAGAGAGAGAGAGAGAGAGAGAGAGAGAGAGAGAGAGAGAGAGAGACTGATTGACTGATTATTTATTTTGAGACTCAGCTTTGGGGGGATGGCCCGCCTGGCTGCATCACACCATGGTGGGAGAGTGTGTAATCACAATGCAAAGCTGGAAGACAAGGAGAGACATTGAGGATTCATAATCTCTCCTCTGTGGGCACATTGCTAACTGCCCCAAGGCTCTTCTACCAGGTCCCACCTTCTAAAGGTCCTGCCACAATGAGGGTCAAGTTTCCCAACACATGGACCTTTGGAAGACCACCATGTCCTGACCTCAGTCACATGGAGTCTGAAAAAAGTCACTATAACGAGAATGATGGGGGGTAGTTGGGGAACAGAGAGAAGAAGGTTAAAAAGTCACTAAGCTACATGGATACTATAGTTAATAGTGTATTAAAGGCTAAAGATTTGCTGAAAGATCTTATGTTACTATACAAACACACCCAAGGGCAGACAACAGGTTGATTTGCTTGCCTCTACAGGAAACACTTCCTTACGCATATCAAACATCATAATGCACACCTTAAATGTATACAATTGGAGGGGATTGCTATGGTTTCCAAAGTCTGGCTGAGCTGAGCAGGAACAGGAAGGGACCAACATCAGGACCCTGTTAAGATCTCAGTGGGGCCGGGCGGTGGTGGCGCACGCCTTTAATCCCAGTACTCGGGAGGCAGAGCCAGGAGGATCTCTGTGAGTTCGAGGCCAGCTTGGGCTACCAAGTGAGGTCCAGGAAAGGCGCAAAGCTACACAAAGAAACCCTGTCTCGAAAAACCAAAAAAAAAAAAAGATCTCAGTGGGGACTGTTTCCTAGAGGCTGAGTGGAGGGAGAGATGGTATTGGCCATCCAGAGTGTTCAATGAACTACAGCCTAATTGAGCCTGCTGACGAGATGCCCTCATGCCCCAAGCTGTGGTTATGGACCTCCACAAGCACCAAGGTTTTTCCCCCATAAAGTATATGGGAGTCTTCCACGGAAGCTACTAACGAATACAGTAACGAACATTTATCTAGTCATGCAGCCACATTCCATGGCCTGATTCTAATGTTCCATAGATTCTTAAACATACTATTTACTGTCCTATCTTCAAGACAAGAGGAATTGGTATGGAGTGGTCACAGGCAGCAGTCAGGAGCAAGAGTCCAGTGTCTGACCTAGTTACACCCTCCGATTTAGAGACAGAATATAATATCTGAATTCGGACTTTATCACTTAGGGAGGTCCATCCACCCACCCACTCATCCATCCACCCACTCATCCATCCACCCACCCATCCATCCACCCACCCATCCATCCACCCACCCACCCATCCACCCACGCATCTACCCATGCATGCATCCATCCATCCATCCATCCACCCACCCACCCACCCATCCATCCATACATCCACCCACCCAACCATCCATCCACCCACCCACCCATCCATCCATCCATCCATCCATCCACCCATCCATCCACCCATCCACCCACCCATCCATCCATCCACCCACCCACCCACCCATCCATCCACCCACCCACGCATCCATCCATCCACCCACGCATCCATCCATCCACCCACGCATCCATCCATCCATCCATCCATCCATCCATCCATCCATCCATCCACCCACCCACCCACCCACCCATCCATCCATCCATCCATCCATCCACCAACCCAACCATCCATCCATCCACCAACCCAACCATCCATCCATCCACCCACCCACCCATTCACCTTCAACAGCATTTCTTCACTTCCTGGCACTGAAGGAAGAGAGTCAACTCACTGACTCCATTTTTTCATTCAGAAGTCCACTATTTACTTCAGCTATTTGAATGGTGTGCTGATTAAAAAAAAAAAAAACTTACACACTCATTTGCTTGTTTTAAGAGAAAACCAATGGGAATGATATTAATTTTATTGCATCATTTTTTGCTGACTAGAACGCCAGACTTAAGAGTGGATATAAGTATAAAAATAACCGAATTCTTACAAATAATACTTTGCTGCTACAGTACTGAATAATTAGTGGAGGCGACATTATAATACAACTTTAAATAACATTCTCTGATAGGTTTCACACAGTCAGTTTCAAGGAGTACAGAACAAAATCCAGGACAACGGGAATGGAGTTCGTATTGCAGCTTCATCTCCATTGAACCTCAAGGCCAGCCACACACACACACACATCACCAAAACTCACAGCAACTTGTGGTGAAACAGTCATTTTCTCTGTAGAACAGGCCTAGGTAATGCCCAAAGATTAAGCGAGTGGGTTCAGTTCCCCTGACAAACCGATTCCACCCCACCCCTATCCTCACCTCATCCTCAATGACTCAGGACAAGGTCATCAAGCCCGTCATTTAAAATTATAGCCGAATCTACCAGGCAGCCCCTTGGAAATGCCCTCTTTGAAAATGCCCACATGACAGGTGCAGTCCAGGACCTGCCTCTTTTCATACCTCAAGGGCTCTCTTTGATTGCACAGGCTATTCTGTTGGCTAAAGTTTCCACCAGACATAAAGGAATGTAACCTCGCAGAGACACTTCAGTACAAGGAACTGACTGGCATTTAATACTTCAATGTTCCTATTATCTTAACCAGTTATTTAAAAAAGTTTAAAGTTATTGTTTTAACTTCAATGTTCCTATTGTTTTTTCCTCCCATTGGGATTTGAGAAAAGAAAGAACATGCATCCCCAACGACAAACTACAAGACCATTTCTGTCTCCCAACATGCTGGTGAGCCCTTTAAAACAATACTGAAAGGAAGAAGAGACAGGGCTGGGGTGTGATTCAGCTCCGCAGTACAGCATAGCACTTGCCTGTACGTGCAAGCCTGGGTTCCATTCCTGGTCCTGCCCTCCAGAGGAGAAGGAGGATGATGAAAAGGATGAGGAGGATGAGGGTGAGGAGGAAGAGGAAGAGAAGGAAGGAAGAGGAGGAAGAAGGAAGAGAAAAGAGGGATGTGCATGTCCTTTTCTAAAAAAAAAAAAAGCATTCAGGTAGACAGGTAGATGACTATCTCTGTTATTACAGGCCGTTTTAAATAAAATACTAAAATACAGAACTTTGCATTGTTTTGGTCTCGAAAGGCAAATCAATATAAATTTAGAACTATGGGTAAAGCCCCTAGTTTTGAGTGTACTATGGGACACTTAGCCAAGGGTGACTTGGCTGTATAGCTTTACTGCGTTAGGCCAAGTCCTATAGTTACAGAGACCCCGGCACGTCACTACTGGGCAAGGTGGCTTAAGGAAGCACCCAAAGCCATGTGCCAGGGGTAACCCTAGTGTGCCCACTCGGGAACCTCACACTTGAGTAGACAGCATCTTTGAAGACTTCACTCTTGGTGGGCAGCCAGTCTCCTTCCAACAATGCTGCTCTCTCCTACGGGCCAGCTTTTACGACTTCCTCTTTCAGAGCATAACTGTCATCTTTGACCTCCAATGCCACGAGGCAGCTTGACTGCACCAATCATACAACAGTTCTGGTTCAACTCCACTTAGATGCTTCTAAAAATAACCTCCCCAATAAGGAAGATCCCTTCAGCATCCCGGACATTCAACTATGTTCCAAGCTTCACACATCTAATATGTGGGAGCCATGGCCTCACTTTGAGAGTCAAGCAGGAAGCCCTCAAATGGGCACCTCAGCCTGATTGTGCTTGTCAAAAACCCACCCAGACCACTTCCTTTCACTTCTAGCAGCCCAAGCTACATACCATTATACTTCTTGCCAACTACTAACCAGTCAATATTTTCCGTTTTGAGACAGCTGTCATGTGCTCCAGGAAACCCTTGACGTCCTGATCCTCTGGCCTCGACCCCTGAGGGCTGGGGTTACAGGAGTATACCACTATGCCCAGTTTATTCGGTGCTGAGGCTCAAACCCAGGGCTTGTACATGCTAGGCAAGCACTCTGCCATCTAAGCTACATTCCCGGGCTCCTCTCTGAATGCTCATCATCCACTAACACAGGTAAGGCCAAACATCTCGCATAGAGCCTGGTGCATGGTGGGAACACATGATGCTATTTATCCTCTTAAGAGATAAGCTCCAGTGTCATGAGGTGCCTTGTGTGTGGGGGGTGGGGGGAGAGAGAGGGAGGGGGAGAGAGAGAGAGAGAGAGAGAGAGAGAGAGAGAGAGAGAGAGAGAGAGAGACACCTTTTGGCATTTACACAGAGCTCAGGTTGGATTCAGGAAACCCCCCTTTCTTTCCTGTTCCTGAACCCCTCAGGATAGATAAGTTCTGCCTGGCCTGGCTCTTTTGTACACAAGCATTTCCTAAGCAGTGTACCTTTTCCCTTCTCCCCACTTCCTTCACCCTGGGACCCCAATGCAGGACTGTAACACGTCCGTGCACATGAATTATGCATTCTAGGTAATGGGGACTGACTCTGAGCACTTCTGTCCAGCAGAGACTCTGCACGTCTAGGCACGGGTTCATCCTGTCTGTCCTGCACATGGCCTGCTGACGTCCTATCTCCAGGCTCCATCTGGATGTAACCCCAAGTAGTAGAGCACCCAGTCACCCCATTCCTTCCAATGGTGGGCAGAGAGTCCCAGGTAAGTTATGTCTCTTATACAAACGCTCCAAGCCTTTCTATCTCAAGCCCCCCCCCCCCCACACACACACCGTGAAACGGTAGACTCAGTATGAATTCACCCTTGCTTGGCGCTCTCATTTTTTTCACAGTAAAAAAGAAAGAAATGAAACACTCTTAATCGACTCTATTTGGACCAAACTCATGAGTCAGTAAGCATTTTTGGAACTCACAGGACACTTTTTCTGGACACTGGGATTCTTCCCAGGAATTTTTCTGGGAATTTTCATTGTGTGGGGCTTGAGGCTTCTGGCCCCCTAAACAGGTGCTCAGCAGCTGTGACGCCAGCTGAAGGCATGAGAAGTGTGTGTGGGAACAGCCGCCACAATGGCTCTTCTCACAGCAGTGAGGCTGGGGACAAACAGGGACATTGAGGGAAGGGCTGGAACCAGGCTACCTCACAAGGGATCTGGGCTCAGGCAAGCCGAGCACAGGAGCTCACAAAGATACAAGGAGCCACCAGTTCCACAGTGAGCTAGGGGCAAGACCCATGGCTCCTTGAGGGCTGCTTTGCAACTTTAAGTTAGCATCAACTAACAGCAACAGAATTCTCCCTGTACTAATGAGTGCGTTCTGATGGCTAAAATCCACTGCACCTGACTAGTGGTCCTGAGCGGTGGAGACCACGAGGCACAGCTCACACTTAAAACAGGATGGGGACCTGCACAAAATTTGGAGGAACCAGAGAACCCCACATAAACACACACAGATCCATCTCCAACAGCTGCCCCATTTCCAGAAAGATATGCCACGGAATTCCCAGCTTCAGATTGGGGAAACACTTCGCCCTCTTCACTCATCCAAAACCAGGATATTCCAATATTCCACAAGTTGATAAATGTAGTTCCACAGGGGACAGAGCCCACCCACCCCCCACACACAACGGGACCCCACCACAGTGCAATAAACAAGACACAGAACTCTTTCCCCGAAAGCAAGCTCTCAGGCCCCTAGCCGGCCAAGCTTTGGTTCTCCAAAGCTGACCTGGACCATAACTGAGTCTCGAGGGGGCACTGCACAAGGACACAGACATATTGATGGCCGGCCGAGAGAAATGGCCAAGTTCTCTCTTCGGTGAGTAAATGGCTTTGAGTGGTCCAAAGTTTCCGTGAGTTTGTGGACAACATTCTGGGTTCAAAGATTAGCAGGCACACACCCTTACCTGTGGCTCCCTATTCTTCCTCGGGGAATCCCCCCCAGCTTTTCAAAAGACTTGGTGATGCAGGAAATACTCCTGTTATCCAGTCCATTCCTCTGTCCCATTCTGCTGTGGGGACCACAGCAGGCTGCTCTATCCTTCAGTGGTGAGACGCTAGCTGAGATGCACCTGCGATCGCCTCTCCCTTTCCTACTACAACTGCAGACTCTGGCGTCACAGTCCCAGGCCCCATGCGACTCCTGCATGAATCAAAAACACCCTTCCACATGGAGGACCAGCCTGATACTGCCTGCCAGGACTTACCGAGGGGCAGCTGGATACTTCTAATGAAAACCAAATGGAAGTTCTTTTGCCCTGATTCATTCTTGTTTGGAGAAGTAAAATGAATAAATCCTAAGCCAATGTATCACCTCGACTTACAACACAAATGGAAGGTGTGTGTTCTCGCCTTGCAAAGGTCAAGTTCTCGTTTGGGGCGTTAGCTTGGAAATGAGCTCAGGCAACCTAGAAACCTTAAAATACTATGCCCCTGACTGCTGCATCACTAGACCAGAGTGGTATGTTTACCTCCATCTGGTGTGCAGCACAAGGCACCAGGCAGGGAAACCAAAGTGCCAGCACCTGACTGTCAATCAATCACCACGCTGAGGCCTGCAGAAGGATCCTAGAAAAGGAAGGCTTTCTGGAATAGTCTGGAAATGAGTCAAAAATGAAACCTCCCTGCCCAATCTATTAAAGTGCAAATTAAGGGGGAACTGGGTCCTGGAAACGATGCCTAGTAGTCTCCTGTGGAAGTCAGCCAGTTCTACGCGCCAGACGTGCGGAGACTCGGTACTGGCCCACGTTCATGTTCACAGTAACACCAGTGCTGAATGAGTGGCCTGCAGTTCCGCATTCCATCTGTCACCTTCCACTGTGGTCATGCCCCTCGAGTGTGGCTCTGACAAGTCCTAGGGGCAGCCAGGACATGGCGCTCCCTTTCGGTGCAGGCCTCTGAGCCAGAGGGCTGGGGAAGTGGCTCAGAGAAACGGCCCCTCTCTCTCCTGGACTCAGAAGTAGTCTCTCCTTCTGCTCTCATCGCTGATGAAAGACGGGTTATACTGTCCCGGGAAAATGCAGGAGTGCCTTGATCCGGGCAGTCCAGTGTAGGCTGGGTAGAGTCCGTTGCGTTCAAGTTCAGGGTTCCTTACGCTTGTGGGCTGGATGCCGAAGAGAAAAGGGTAAAAGTTAACTATTCCCGGACTTAAATAAGTTTAAGCGATTTTACATTTTAATGAACTTAAGATGGGGCTAGCTGTAAATGAAGATTGGGGCCAGCTATAAATATCAAAGCACCAGCTCACCTGGAAACGCAACTCCCACGATTCTATTTATGTATTTAGATGGGGGTGGGGTGGGCAGAGTCGCGCCATCTGTTCCTGGTGGCCTGAAATGCACAATCTCCTTCTTTTAAAAAAATTACTTTAATTACTTTTCTAAATGGTGTTTTATGTATATGACTGTTTTGCCTGCATGTGTGTCTGTGCATCACTCGTGAGCCTGGTGCTCAGAGACGCCCGGAGAGGGCGTTCGATTCCCTGGAGTTACAGACAACCGTGTGGGTGCTGGGACTTAGCCGCTGAGCCATCTCCCTAGCCCCCGCTACAATCTTCTCGGCTCTTCCTACCATGGGCTGGGATTATGGGCATGTATCACTACACCTGGCATACAAGCTTATCTCTTCATGGATGTGGGATACATTTCACTTCATTTTAAAAGGAGGTTAAAAAACATTAGTCGGGCCAGGTATCCAAAACAACAATAAAGGCCCCAGGAGAAACTCTTCATAGCAGCATCAGAGGTTAATGCTTTTTTTTTTCTTTTTTCTGGGTAGAAATAAAGTACTAGATAGGGTGCACTAGAAACGTGATACCTATGAGAGCCCAGTGTGGCACTGCCTGGACCACTTTGTACCCACTGTGAGGGACAGCGGCACATGGGTGACAGCATCACGCTGTCAACTCGGGTTCTGTTTCCATAAAGAGAAGATAGGGCCTGTGCTAGCTAGTTTTGTTAACTTGACACACAAACTATAGTCATCTGGAAGGAGGGAAACTCAACTGAGAAAATGCCTCCATAAGATCCAGCTGCACGGCATTTTCTTAGTGATTGATGGGGGAGGGCCCAGCCCATTCTGGGTGGGGCCATCCCTGGGCTGGTGGTCCTGGGTGTTATAAGAAAGCAGGCTGAGCAAACCATGAGCAGCACCCCTCCATGGCCTCTGCACCAGCTCCTGCCTCCAGGTTCCTGCCTCGCTTGAGTTCTTGTTCTGACTCCCTTCGGTGATGTGGCCATGTGAAAGTGTGAAGTGAATAAACCTTTTCCTTCCCACGGGGCTTTTGGTCATGGGGTTTCCTCGAAGCGATAGAAACCCTAATTAAGCGTGTTCACCTGAGCTCCTAAGGAGACTTAAGACAATGCCGTGGGTATGCACAGAGAGGCAGGGTCCCAGGATACTTACTGCCTGCTTGTTTGTTAGAATTAACACACCACACCAGGGCTGAGGAGTCCCTAGCAAAGAATGTGGGGTTAGGATACACTTACTACAGCATCGGTTAGGGAAGGGAAAAGATATTCCTGACAGAGGCAAAAGACCAGTGCCCGTTAGGAAACAGGATGTTGAACTATCAACAGGATGTTCAACTACAGGTACACATCCATATTTATTTTTTCCACCTTCCTTGTTCTTCCTCCTGGTTGAAAATTTTCAGAGAGCACACTGGAACAAACCTGCCCCTCCCATCCAAAGTCTGATCCTCCTGGTTCATCCCCATAGCAACCAGAGGGATTATGGTTTCTATAGCGAAATGTCTAGCGCCATTAAGTCCCCACAGGGCAAGGTCTCATGTTTATTGCTACACAGCAAACTGATGAGAAGTCACCTGACATGTTTATTTTTCTGCTCAGATATCTGCATTTGTGTCTGCTGACGGCTGACGCCGTGACTTGAGCTGAACTGAATGGAATAGGAATAAAAGTTGTATTTCCTTCAGTGTGGGACAGGAAAAGGGGCTTAAGGTGGTGGTTCTCACCTGGTGGGTCGAGACCCCTGGGGTGGGTGGGTCGAACAACTCTTTCACAGGGGTTGCATATCAGATATGTACACTACGATTCATAACAGTAGCAGAATTACTGTTATGAAGTAGCACGGAAAATAATTGTATGGTTGGGGGGTCACCACAACACGAGGGACTGTGTCAAAGAGCCGCCGCATCAGGTTGGTTGAGAAGCACTGACTACTGGCTTAGGGCTTGCTCCCAGCTTTCCCGGTGATGTAGTCCAGGGCTGGATGGAGCCAGTGATTATCCACTGAGTTTCTAAAACCTCCAAGGTGAAGATGCCATCCAGCCATTCTGGCCGCATCTTTCCCGGCTCCCAGTTTTGACTGACAAACCACAGGGGGTGAGATTCGAGATAGCAAACCACAGAAGAGGGCAAAGGGCTAAAACCACACTCTCTCTCTTCCTTTGAAGTTCCCGTTCCTACTCAGAAAAGCGAGTTGAGGGATTACGACTCCCCACTCGCTAACAGTAATTTACTCTGTGGAAGTATCCCCGATACTCAAACGGATAAATACCGTGCAACCAGGCCATTGTTAAACTGGATGGTAAACAAACTGTGTTATCTGAGAGGCTCGCTGTCCCTAGTCTCTTGAGGCCTTAATTAACTCCGATACTTTCACAAGGAGCTCTGAGCTGGGGCCCGAGGCCGGCTGGGCACAGGCACCTACCGAGTAGTACACGTCTGTCATCTGCAGAAGGTTTTTGGTGCTCCCGTTCTCGTGCATTTCAATGGCTTCTCGGCCCCATTCTTGTGAGCGAGGATTCTTGGGGTACTCGGCGTACGGGGACATTTGGAAGTCCCCGCTTTTGAAGATGAGCTTACTTATGTCATTTTTACTCTTTCTGTGAGACGTTAAGAGAATGTACGACAAGTTCTATCAGTAAGTTGTGTCAGGAGACGGCCTCCGAGGCCACAAGACCGTTGAGTGTGTTTGGCAACATAAATTAGAGGGGGAACTGCCTGCCCCTGCACTCCCACATGGCTGCCCACCAGAAAGGCTACTGTAATTTAGTATTTGACTAAAAAACCTAAAACTGACATTAGGTGCCCCCTCTGCCATGCAAAAGAAGATGTAAAAAGACTTCCTAAATTCAAGAGTCCAAATGGAACATGAAGACAGCCCCAAAGGAGCCATTAGTGTCCGCTGGGAGCAGAGGGTACTGTGCCCTGGGATCGTGAGGGGCACAAGAATCAGGATTCACAGGTGCCTGTGGGCAGGAAAGGAGTTCAATGGTGGCCAAACCTCAGTAGCCACAGATGAAGCGTCACCGCTGTTCCAGAATGGGGAGCCAGGCCTCGGGCAGCTCTGGCTCCCCTGCAGCTACTAGCCACCTGGGACGGGGTTGGTCTCTCCTCTCTCCAGCCATGTTTTATTTACAACTTCACAAGCCATAAAACCTTGATGGGGCCCCCAGCTTATAGACTCTCCACGTTCTCATTTTAGCAGGCCCAGAAGCCCAACCGTGAGGTTTCACTGCCTAGAAATGGTCAGGGCAACCGTCTGTCTTGTGGGTGGAGGATCAGGAATATTTCATTATTATTTGCTCTGAGTAAGAGAATCTGAAGCCCGCTGTTCGTCCTGCACTTTAAGTTTCCGGGAAAGGATGGAAATGACTCAGCGTCATAAAGCATGGCCTCAGTACCGGTCCTTCCTTCGGGCTCAGAGCAGAGCTGCCACTACTGAGGTGGGACAGGATGACCCCACTGCTGTTTTCACTTTCCAGTAACCAAGCGCCCAGGCTCCCTCCAAGAATGACTACACTGTGTGACAGAGAATGTTGCCAATACAAGGCTTAGGTCCTCCCAGCTGTCAAGCTCTGTTTCTCTACATAACTGCTCCAGTTTATTTCCACGCATGCTTATCTCTGATTTCTATGTGAGAAAGGATGGCTGTACCATGCACCCTGCACTCCTGAGGGAGGGAGTGCTGACAGTAAGTTATTCTTGGTGGCCTTCCTGGAGGCAGAGGATGCCTTAAAATGTCCTTATATCACTGGCACAAACAGATAACGAGCTATTTTGGAAAGGTCCCTCCATCTGTTACGAACAAATAATTCCATTGGATATCCTCTAAGTCAATGATTGTAATTTTCCTTTACTTGAACAGGTAATTGTAGACAAGAGGGATCTAGTCTCCCCTTTCTCTTCCCTTCCCATGGAAACTCCATCACAGGAAGCCCGGAGCAAAGGTCACTTTCATCCAAACCATGGCTCCAGCCTCTTTACTGCTAAAATAAATCAGGCAGCCCTCTCCCTCCCCGAGTCTTCGTCTGCTTCTCTCTATATACACAGCCCTGAGAGACGATTGATGCAACCCTACGATTTACTCTTTCAATGATTTTTAACATATTCACAGTGGTGCGACCATCATCACAATTTCAAAACCGCTTCATCACCAACCCCTTAGCAACCATCCCGTCTTCCAACTTCCCTAACCTGCCCTCTGCCCTAGACTCCAACTAGTCTACTTTCTGTCTCTATTAGACACAGACCACTTTAATAACTCATATTCATACCACACCCCTGACGGTCTTTCAGATGCCTTTTTTCACTTAGAATAAGATTGTGAAGGTCTGCCCATGTGTCAGTCAATGGCTGACTGTTGGCTTTGGGGTACAGATCAGTCACATTTTTTTTTTTATTCATCAGCCCACAGGCACTGGGATCATTTCCCCCTTTGACTTTTAGGAATAGAATCGCTGTGAATATACCAGGATATTTCTTGTGAATACACAAGAAACACATTCTTGTGTGGATGTGTTCCCATCAGATCGGCCTTTAACTCAAGGAGACCCAAGTGTCTGTCTCCAGAGTGCTGGGATTAAAGACGTGTGTCACCGAATCCGGCTGTTTTGTATTTTTAGAACAGCTTCCTGTATCCCTGGCTGTCCTTGAGCTTGCTTTCTAGCCGAGGATGACTTTGAATTATCAATTCTTCCTGCCTTTACCTGCTGGGCTGGTTCAGAAGAGGACAACACCACGCTTAGTTTTTGCACCACTGGGGGTGGGCAGAGCAAACACAGGGCTTCACGCGTGCAAGGCAAGCCCTCTACCCACGGAGCCACATACGTCCTCAGCTCTGGAGGGTCAAAGTTCTGGATTTTGATAAAATCCAATTCGCCTTTTTATTTTGGTGCTTGTGTTATTTATTTTTGGTTCTTTGGAGACGGGATTTTTTTATTATGTAGCCCAGGCTTGCCTAGAACTTGCTATCGACCCAGGCTGTCCTCATCCTCAAAGTCATTTTCCTTTTGCCTCAGTTTCCCCAATGCTAGTTTATTCAAGGTGACAAGCTGACCCTCTGCATAGCACGGCTGGTCAAACAGGATGTAGATGTGAGTTCTCACCACTCACCTGCAACAGGTGACAATCAGTGCGATGCCCAGGATGAGAAGAAGGCCACCTCCTGCGGCTGCTATCACCACAGTGATGAGCTGGTAGGCTAAAGGGACAGACAGACAGACAGGGTGGATTGGCAGGAGGCCACGAGTAAAAAGCCTCCACCCCACCCCCACCCCTGCCTGCAAAGCTCCAGCTGCTCTCTCCCATTGCCAGGTCTCTGGCCCAGAAATCTCTAAGGCTACAGTTCCACTTTCTCTGTCTTGACAGGATTTCCCCGTTCAGCCCCTTCTAGGGTGGTGGCCCTGAAATTCTTCCTGTGGGACAGCCTGATGATGTCACTCAACCACAAAAGGGAAAGAGACAGGCAAGCATTAAGTTTCCCCAAACTGTCCTGAGGGATTTTACTCTTACAGTTTGGTTCCCTCTCTCATTTAAGATGGGTGCCTTTTATTGTGTGAAAAACATACATCAGGGAATTTAGCTTGTTATCTTGATGGTGACAGCAGAGATAAAGATGTTTGATACCCACTGGAGGCAGAGGCAGGCGGATCTCTATGAGTTCGAGGCCAGCCTGGTCTATAGAGCTAGTTCATTTTTTTAGACGGGATTTCTCTGTGTAGCCCAGGACAGCCAGGGCTACACAGAGAAATCCCGTCTAAAAAAAAAAAAAAAAAAGCAAAAAACCAAAAAACAAAACAACAAAACAGAGCTAGATTCAGTTTTAGAGTCTTACTTGGTAATACAACTGAGCCAAGTTCTTCAATTTCAGAAGAACTATTACTGGTCTGTTAAGTGCAGGGTCTGGGATCACTGAATAATCCACACCAGGGACCCAGGAGGCTCCTTATACATAAACTTAACTACCAGAAATCAGCACTGATAGAATAATGCTGGAAAGTCTGATTAATTGGGTTTTATATCTGTATATTTGTAGCAAAATTAATTCTTATAAATGACATTAAATATTCTATTTTTTTCTTGTGGAAATACAATTAAAATTGGTTTTTTAGTTTGCAAGACCTAGAATGAAAGGCTAGTAACTAGATTTTCTTTTTTTAAAAATATTTATTTTAGTTGGGCATGGTTGTGCACGCCTTTAATCCCAGCACTCGGGAGGCAGAGGCAGGTGGATCTCTGAGTTCAAGAACAGTTTGGTCTATAAAGCAAGTTTCAGGACAGCCATAGCTACAATGAGAACCTGTCTCAAAAAACAAAAAAAAACCCATACACCCCACTAAATTTTCTCGCTTCCAGCAAAACAACCAAATGTCCACTATTTGACCCCTGTGAGTGACTGCAGGTTCCAGCACATTCCCTCTGAAATCAATGATTTTGTCTGAAAAACAATGTATTTTGCAGGAAAATGGATGGACCTAGATAACATCATTTTAAGTAAAACAAGCCATGCTCAGAAATGTGAATATTGTCTGCTTTCTCTTACACTGAGAAATCTAAATTAAAATCTCTCTCTCTCTCTCTCTCTCTCTCTCTCTCTCTCTCTCTCTCTCTCTCTCTCTCTCTGTTTCTGTCTCACACACACACATACTCTCTTTCTCACACACACTCTCTGTCTCTCTCTCATACACACACACACATACACACACATACATTCTCTCTCACACACACACACTCTCTCTTACACACACACACACTCTCTCTTTCACACACATACATATACACACATATACACACATACTCTCTCTCAACATGCACACACACACACACACACACACACACACACACACACACACACACAATGACAGGAGAGTAGAAGGCAGACAGTGAGGGGGAGGAATAACTCAGGTTTTATAGCCTAGGGTAGCTTGGAACTCACTATGTAGCCCAGGTTGGCCTCAAACTCACAATCCTCTTGCTCCAACTTTCCAAGTACTAGAATTACAAGCATGTGCCATCATACCCGGCAGGATAGCTTTTTAAATAAACAATAAAATCTCACATGGTCCCTCTTCTTTCCCTTGAGGGACCAACTATCATATACTCCCCCCCCCCCTTTTTTTTCCTTTTAAAGACATTCACTGTGGACCAAGCGAAGTAACCCAGACTCAGGAATCTGGAACCTAGCTTGCAATGTTTATATGAATGTATTGAGAGTGAGCGGGAGTTAGAACACTAGAAAGGAGACCATGAGAGGTTGGTTAAAAAAGGAGGTGACCGGGGAGGCCACAGGCCACATGTGACCTGAGCGAAGGAGGCTGTGGGGAGGTGGAAGGGTACTCAGGGGGCAGGGAGGCTGCTGTGAGATGGTCTTTCTGTATGTGGTGCTCTCACTGGTTGATAAATAAAGCTGATTTGGCCTGTAGCCAGGCAGAATAAGGCTGGGTGGGAAAGCCAAATGCAGATAGAGGGAGAGGGAGGGCAGAGTCGGGCAGATGTGAACCAGCCACCCAAGGAACAAGATGTCAGAGAACCGGTAAGCCATGGGCCATGTGGCGATGCATAGATTAATAGAAATGGGTTAATTTAAATATAAGCCAGAGCCATCGGCCAAACATTTATAAGTAATATAAGCCTCTGGATGATTATTTGGGACTGGGCAATCAGAACAGAAAGGCTTTACCTCAGGTTACAGTAGGGTAAGAAGAATTAACATAAAAGAATTATGTTTGAAAATGCCACCGTGAAACCTGAAAGTGTATATGCTAATTAAAAATATTTAAATAAAGGAAATAATGATAAAAATGAACAGGAGACGAGATCTCACATACCCTTCACCATCTCTACCTAGGGCACTGTCTTACAGGATCATTTTAACTGATCCTTTGGGTGCAAAGACTGACTTTAGTTTCCTGAGCCACAGAGCTTCATGGGGCCTTTCTTCCCTAATGCCAATGATCATGTTTACTTCTAACTTTGTAGGACAGAGACAGAGACACCATCTGTCTGCCCTGTGCTCTCTAGTCTGAGGAGATGCTGCCAGATGAAGCCGGGGTCCTCAGGCCTCGCCAGCAATGGCTCCTTCCACCACCCTCTCAGCTTGAGGCTGTGATCTCTGCTTGTATTTGTCCACCAAACCAACCCACTCTGGGCCTCCCCCTTCCTCAGGAGCTCTTCGCTTTGGCTACATGGTTGTTTGGAAGAAACCCATTGTCTGTAGAGCCCACCTCTTCTGGGAATGACTTCCTCCCTCCCTCTGCAGTGGGGGTGCTCACTCATGTTGACATCCTTGGCCACAGCTGATGAGGAATGAGTACATGACCCACACTCAAGTGGAAAATAGAGAGAACTTTCTCTTTCACACACACTCGAGAGCTATATGGGGACTCTGTTTTCCATCACGTGGTCTGGGAAGGGAAGGAAGCTGCGGACAGTCACCCCAGGTAAAAGCAGAGAGGAGGTGGAGCCACACTCGGATGCACTCTGCAAGCTCTGACCTCGGCTGCCAGAGGAGCCCACTCCAACGATTCCTACCATGCCTGACACCGGGTCCCAGGACAAGTCCTTCCAAACTGCCTAAGCTTGCCAGCCTTTTACTCCAGAAGAACTTCCTTTAAAAAGGACACGCTTTCTTCCTTTAAAACCATGCAACAGAGCTTTCTACGCAGCCTTATTGGATTTCTTTTAAAACTCATTCAGTATTTAACCACATAAGGTCAGAGGTGTGTCTTTGAAGCCTCCCCATCTTCCGACAGCTCTGCTCAAGGCCCTTCCTTTCCTTCCTCTGAAGTTTCCCAATTTCCAAGTCTCCAGGCTATGTGTGAACCTCCCCAGGGCCTACTGCCCACATTATGATGATTTTCATGGGACTCTCCCTCTCTGCTGGAGTTCCTGTCCCTTCCACCTCACCAGGCCATGGGGATACCCAACACAGACTAGGGTTCTCCTCCCCCAAGCCCTGCTTCCCCTGTGTTATGATGGGAAAGGGAGCCAGTTGAGGCCATCGGAATGACTGCTTGCTCTGACTTCCGCGTGATTATCGATCGTTCCTTCCTCCTAAGTGTTTCGTCTTTCTGGACAACTGCGCTGAGTGACTCCTGCACTTCCTCTGACCTGAATCTCCGTGCAGCCCCGTGCGACAATGACAGGGAGAGCAGAGAGAAAAGTTCTTTGTGTACCAGGTTGTGGGTGGAAGACAGTAGGGGGGATATAGCTAGGTGGAATGCTCTAGTTCACTGGAAGAGACTGCGAACAGAAAAGATGGCTCTAAAAGCCACACTTGGATGAGATCTCTGTTGAGCCACAGGCTTTGAAAAAAAGGGCATGTGGAATGCGTCCAAAAGAGGGATGGACAAGAATGTCTGTCCATGGTAAAAAACTAATCTGGAACAACAGTGTGAGTTCTACAGTCATGAGGCGACAGTGGCCATAAATCAGAGAAATGGCTTAGAGGATGAGCCCATAAAAAAGGTCACCAGAGGGACAACGCACTTAAATTGTAGCACAGAATAGTATAGCACTATCCAAGGTGATGTAATAAGAGTATAGAAATGAAAACACTGCACAGTTATAAACAGGTTACAGGGCTGGAGAGATGGCTCGGTCCTGGCTGCTCTCCAGAGGACCTGAGTTCAATTCCCACACCCACATGGTGGCTCCCAACCATCTGTAACTCCAGTTCCAGAGGCTCCAATGCTCTCTTCTGGCCTCTGTGGGCACCAGGCATGCACTGTACACACATGCAGGGAAAATACTCATTTACATAAAATAAAATATTCAGTTTAAAAGTTTAGAAAAACAGGTTACAAAATAGTACATCCAGTGGAGTCCAATTCCTTGAAAAAAGAGATGCACATTCACATGGATGACGTGTGTTCTTCAAGCTGTAGGATGTATGCAATGCAACATACAAGCAAGCCACTGAGTTTGGTAAATTTCCAGATTCTGATTTCATAGGTGTGGAGTGAGGAGATCTGAAACTGTGTCAAGTAGGTACCTGGTAACTGGGGCTGCTGGTCCTCACGAAGACGGTGTGTGGTGTATAATGAATGGATGATGGATGAATGATGTGCATCCTCCTCTTCCCCTGGTAACTGGGGCTGCTGGTCCTCATGAAGATGGTGTATGGTGTATAATGGGTGATGGATGGATGATGTGCATCCTCTTCTTTCCCTGGTAACTGGGGCTGCTGGTCCTCATGAAGACGGTGTGTGGTGTATAATGGGTGACAGATGATGTGCATCCTCCTCTTTCCCTGCTAACTGGGGCTGCTGGTCCTCACAGAGATGGTGTGTAGTGAACAATGGGTGATGGATGGTGTACTCCTCCTCTTTCCTTACCTTACACCTATACTCTAATTGATTTGGGGTTTGAAAAGGGAAAAATCAACGATTTTACATCGTTCTATGCTATGACAAAGTAAAAAATTTTTTTTTTTTTGGTTTTTTCGAGACAGGGTTTCTCTGTGTAGCTTTGCGCCTTTCCTGGATCTCGCGCTGTAGACCAGGCTGGCCTCGAACTCACAGAGATCCGCCTGCCTCTGCCTCCCGAGTGCTGGGATTAAAGGCGTGCGCCACCACCGCCCGGCTACAAAGTAAAAATTTTAAAAAGAGAACCAAGTGGCTGGCATAGTAGCACCTGTCTGTAATCCCAGCACTTGGAAGACTGAAGCAGGAGGATTGTGAATTTGAGGCCATCTTAAGTTACAAAGTAAGTTTTAGGCTAGTATGGGAGATATGTTAGACCATAACTCAATAAACAAATATATATACACACGTGCGCATATATAAACACACACATTACATACACACATACATAAATATACACATACATACATACATACATACATACATACATACATACTACATGCATACATGCAAACACACATGAACGAGGGTGCAAAAGGTGAAGCAACCCAAAGCGTCAGGGGAGACACGACACACCTGTGCGGAGGACCCAACGTGAAGTTCAAACAACAAAGGAGACGTGAAGTCTAAGAAAACAGCAAAGGACAAGGGACAGGTCTGTCACACATCTGGAGAAGAATTCTGGACAACTGGAGAAGAAGACGGAATGTGGGGGACAAACAGAGACAAAGGTTCCAGGGAAAGAAGAGGGACAAGCTGGTGGGAGCCCCGAGCCTTGGGAGTGGGTGGTCTGCGTGTCCTTGGGGACTAAAGCCTTGAGGATGATTCATTCTACCCCTTTGAAGGGTATTTTCTACAAGGAGTAGAACCTGGGCAAAGCCGGAAAGCCAGCAAGAGCCTTTCGAAATGCAGAACACAGATGATGCCTATGCCTGGAATATAGAAACTGGGTGACAGCCAGGAATGCAGGAAGGAGAGAACTTCAAGGTCATGCATGAGGCTGGGAAAAGCTGGCTTATCTGTCTCACTGGGGTTGAGAACAGAATGTGCCAAGAAATCTATCTAGAGATACTTCCTGCCTACAGAAAATCGATAGACCAGGCATGGGAGAGCACACCGGTAAACCTAGCACTCGAGAGACAGAGGCAGGATGATGGTGAGTTTGAGGCTAGCCTGGCCTATATACAGTAAGATCACATCTCAAAACTAAAAGAGGAAAACCAAAATCAGCTTGGGTGACAGCCCCCAGGATGGGTGGTATAAAACACTGAATGATGAGTCATGGCTTCCTCAGGGGCTTTCATCACCAATGGGGAGACGTCCAGGTGCCCCCAGCTCCGTAGCCAACACCCAGGGCTGGGTCTAGACGTCAGATAAAGAGCCAGGTGGCAAGTGTCTCTCAGTGTGTGCTGCTGAAGCATGTACAGCAAGTGTCACTTCACATGTTATCACAAGTCATAACATTTTTATCAGCTACCATAAAATGTTTTATAACGCTACCTTAAAGTAGCTATCAAAGTCACCACAGTTTAACGATAAACTGTCAGTATCCGTTCCTGAAGTGGGCTAGAGCCAATAATCCATTCAAGTGTCTGCTGGACATAATGATGGCCACTTGGATAAAAGGGGAAGGGAAAAGTGGTCACAGGGACCTGAGAGAAATCCTGGTTATTTTTAAGACCTCCACAAACAAATAGACTTGATGATTTTCTCACCATAAGAGCTGAGAGAGTAAATGGATGCAGGGTATGCATTTCCTAGACAGACATTAGCAACAGCCAGTCATATACAAAACAAAACAAAAAACCCCCAGCAACGGCACATAACCCAGAACATGGACACATGCAATCCTCCCTTCCTGAATGACAGCTATTCTCCCGAACACAAAACTAGAAAGATCTAGAACCCGGCACTCAGGAGGCAGAATCTCTGTGAGTTCAAGGCCAGCCTGGTTCCAGGACAGCCAGGGCTACATAGAGAGACTTTGTCTCAAAAAAAAAAGTTATAAAAAGAAAGCTAGGGTAGGGGAGAAAGGCTAAGCTAAGCTTGCTGTGTACACTGAAGACATAAAAAGTGGGACATACAGAGGGAAATGGCAACCGGGGAGTCTTTTTGTTTGTTTTTGCTTTTTTTTCAAGACAGGGTTCCTCTGTGTAGCTTTGGTGCCTGTCCTGGATCTTGCTTTGTAGACCAGGCTGGCCTCGAACTCACAGAGATCCGCCTGACTCTGCCTCCCGATTGCTGGGATTAAAGGCGTGCGCCACCGCTGCCCGGCTCACAACTGGGGAGTCTTAGCACACATGGAATAAAATCATGTCTACTTCCAAACTGGTGAACGTAGATATTTACCATTTGCACATTCACCCGTACAACAGGAGGCAAAGCTACCCGAAACTGTCTTAGTTGCTGTTCTTCTTCTTCTACTCTACCATATCCTGTATCACAAATTTTGTTTCATAATTTTGAAGGTAACTTCCATCTTGAAAAACGTCAGTGTAAGCCAATCTAAAATGCCTCCAACTGCAGTTCAGAAGGGACTGGATCACGCTTGCCACACCGTCAGCCCTGACCACGCTGAGCTTTACTTCGGGGAGTAAGATTCCGCCTGGTAGCAGGTGACTTCGCAGGCTGGTTCCTGTCCCCAGCTGGCACACCACTGAAGTCTCCTGACTCTTACGCTCTCTCTTGCTCACTGCAATCTCAGTGGCTTTTCCTCAATCTCGTAACTCTCCCGTGCTGCAATTGCTAGCTCCCTAGCAGTTACCGATTGCAGCCTAGGAACTTCCTGTGTACTTTGCAAACCTAACGCTGTACTTCCCGTCTGGTTTTCCTTCCATAATTTGGGCACACCCACTTACAAACTGTACCCCAAACACCATGGACCTGTGGCTGCCCCAAGACTCTAAATGGGTCCTAAATGGTGCCCCCCCCCACCTCCGTCCGCCCCTTCCCCCCACCAGCCCAGCTCTGGGACATCCTTCCTACTCTCACTCCTCCCCTGTATCTGCCCAAAGTCTTTCTAAACCTCCCTCCAATTCCATTATTTACAAGCAACACTCCTGAGTAGCTTGGATTCTCCCTCCGGTGTGGGCTCTGCTCCGCGCCTCCCACCGCATGCCTGACTTAGCACGCTCAGAGCACAGGCGGAGCTGTGCAGGGCTGTTTGTTTCTTCCTTTAGAATCTGAGCTTGGGAAAGCACTATGCAGGGCATACTCTGTTTTTCTCACACACCCAGCACAGGACTTAAGCACACAGTGGAGAGGGGAGGAAGATGTCAGTAGGCCGGGCCCCACCTGGTCACAATTCTCCACTTCGGGATACTTACGGTTTCCACAGTTGAGACCACCAAGGCCGAATGGGCAACTGTAGACGAGAGAGACAAAGGAGACTCACATTCAGATCTCAAAAGCCGTAACGAGGCAATGCATATGAGAAACTTCTTTACTTAGGATAGGTTCCTTATTAGGATGGTCTGTCTGTCTGTTTTGTTATTCTGGGTTGCCCTGGCCATCCTGGAACTCACTCTGTAGACCAGGCTGACCTTGAACTCAGAGATCCGCCTGCCTCTGCCTCCCAAGTGCTGGGATCAAAGATGTGCGCCACCACCATCTGCCTGGATGGTCTGTCTTTTAGAGTAGTTTTTAAAAACTTCATCAGAAAAAGTGAATAGGGAACCCACCTCATACAGGTTTCGTTTTCAAGCCTATATCCATCTTCACATGCTGAAAGAGAAAAGAAAAATCCATGAGGGTCCACAGGACCAAAACTCACATTGAATTAAACACCCAAAAGTCCACAAGAATATTCCAGAAGCCAAAAGTTTTAAAATTATCTAGATCCTGACCTGAACCGTTGTCATCTCAATTCTTAAAGTGATCAAGAAACTTTTCTTGACCTCAGTGTGGCTCAGTTCCCCATCAGTAAAAAGAGGGTTATGAGAGAATAGTAATAGTAATGGTTTCTTAGAGGTGGTGATGTATCTTAGCCCTTTTCCATCAGGAGGGAGAAGCGTTGTGGATGACACCCTCTGGAACACAGTCCTGGTCGATGCCCGGGTTTTCATAAGTGAATGCCTTACTGTATAATCTGTGCCAGAGATCCTAGATGTTGTGGGAGCCCGCAAAGGTTTCCTAGTGAGAGCGGAGCTTGCTTTACACAGCTGCATTAGGAGATGGCTGGACCACGTGCATGGTCACCAGGTGTTTGGGATGCTCTGCACTTGGCTGTGCTGGGGGAGGTCTTTTGCTCCACCCCTTGGCATTCCTTTAAAAGCCCTTTAGAAGAGACAGAAGGGGCTGGTGGATTAGGACCCAGGCTCTCCCGACATGCCCTGTGTTTCTATCTGTCTCTCTCCTCTCTATATTTCTATCTACGAACTTCTCACTTCCTCCTCCTCAAGAGTACCCTGGGGGAAGAGAGGGAGCTGGTCTCTCTCAACATGTATCTAGATGTGTCCTAATTTTCACCTTGCCAAGAACAAAGATTTGAACCCTCTGGTGGTACAGCTCTGGGCCCCCTGGATAGGCTAAGGCCCAGCTCTTCTCCTGGGTCAGCCATTCTCAAGCTTGTCTGATCACAGGATACTTTCAACATTCCAATAACGCAGACAAACACCAGCAAGGGTGATGCATGCACGGATGAGAGAAGACAATGAAAAATGGCCCCGGACACAAATTCCCTGCAGCAAGGAAGGATAAAAATTTGATTCATGATTAATGCCTGATACACATCACATAAGAGATCAGACAAAAAAAAAAAAATCACAGGATATAGAGCTGCCTGCCAACAGGGAGCAGAGAGCAGAGACGCAGTAGGGAGAGTTGTGAGTGGCAAAGGCCAGCATGGGCTGGGGATGGGGTGGGGGGTACGAGCCCTGCAGGCTGGGACGGGAGGTCTCACAGACTTCCTGTGTTCTGCCATGAGTTTGTGCATTACAGTATTAACTGGGTACATGTGCTTGATATTTTTCCTTGTTATGTTTTTAATGCTAGAAGCTAAATATCTCTAGCATCCATTTTACTGTCATACATCACCCATTAACTGCAACCGTTTTGTGGAATACAGTTTGAAAAACACTGTTCAGATAACCTGAAACTGATCTCACCACGTCATTGGAGAGCCGTGCATACACCATGGGCTCCGCAGACTCGCTTTTCCCGAGTGTCAGACTCACGCACTCTGGGCTGTTTACCTTAAGCAGCAGCCACAAGAAAGCCCTCCGGCACCATCTACTACTGCAGGATGCCATGGCCCACACTGCTACGATACCACAGTAACCTCTCAGTGAGCATGCCCAGAGAAACTTCTTGTGGGTCTCAATGCCTCGAAAGATAGGGAGTCTGCTGGACCACCAGGGTGCTTTGCTTTATGCGCTCTGACTCCTTTCAAAGTCATGATCTTGCTGGTTTGGCGTTAGTATCTGAGCTTAGGTCCTGAGTGTATGGTTTACCTCAGCAAATGCCCTCGTTAGCTTTCTATACGTTCCCTTTCCTTCCAGTCTCAACAAAGCAGTCAGTTTCCCCTTGAGCCTGACTTTCCCCTTAACTATGTACATTTGCAGGCCTTCAACTCCGAACTCCTCAGCTTCCCAAGGCTAAGGTCACAGGCATGTGACACTATGCCCATTCCCTTTCTTTTTCCCCCCATGCTATACCTAACCAGCCAAATCTGTGATTTTATAATAATAATAATAATAATAATAATAATAATAATAATAACAACAACAATAATAATAATAATAAAATTCACTTTAGCAGGGTGTGGTGGCTTTTAATCCCAGCATTCTAGAGGCAGAGGCAGGTCTTCATGAGTTTGAGGGCAGCCTGGTCTATATAGCAAGTTCCAGGCCAGCCAGAGCTACAAAGTGAGACCCTATCTCAAAAAGAAAATCATTTTATTGTGAACTCACAAAGAAAACATCACTTAGCCACCCGCACAAATACACACTTACCCTGCCCCAAATTCTATACATCTCAACAAACAGAATGATGGTGCGGAAGCCACAGAGCTTCGCTTAGGGTTTTTTTTGTTGTAGTTGTTGTTTTTATTCTTGTTTTGTTTGTTGTTTGAGACAGGGTTTCTCTGTGTAGCCCTGGCTGTCCTAGAACTCACTCTATAGACCAGGCTGGCCTCAAACTCAGAAATCCGCCTGCCTCTGCCTCCCAAGTGCTGGGATTAAAGGTCTGCGCCACCATCATGTGGCTTCTCTTAGAGTTTTACACTTTAACAATCAGTTATGCTTTTTATACGCTTATCCACCACAAAAAAAGAAAAAAAAAAACTTACAACACAGTTGAAACTAGAAAAATAATTCGCTTTCTATTCTTTTTCAAGACTCACGTCCTTTTGCCCCATTCAGACGCTCCTCATTATCCAGTATTACCCTTCTAGGTCTTCTTTCTAAATGTTATACGACACCCACACTTAAAGCTGTTGGCATGTCTACATGTCTACCTTACAGGCCATTTTCTTTTCTTTCAGAATTTGGGTGAGCTTGCTTAATATCATACCTTCCAACTCCCTCTCCTTCCCGGAAATTTCATGCTCTCATTTTACTTTACAGCTGAACTAATGTTCCATTTCATTTCTGTATCTGGGCCACATTTTTATTCTCTATCTGTTGACGGCCATCTAGGTTGGTTTCGTTTCCTCATAAACAGAGCAGCCATAAACATGGGTGTGTGAACATCTCTCTGGTAGGGCGTGGGGTTCTCCAGGTAGAAGCCAGCCAGCAGGGAAACAGCTGACTCCTGTAGTTCTATTTTTAATCTTTTAGGGAACTTCCAAACTGACTCCCATACTGACGTATTGATTTGTACCCCCATGCTCTCAGCAGGGAATAGGGGCCCCTGTCCCCACATCTGTGGTCAGATTTGTTGATGCGAACCATTCTGAGTGGGGTGAGGTGCTATCCCAAAGTAGTTTTAATTTGCTTTCCCCTGATGACTAGGGATGTTGAGCACTTTTAAAAATAGTTACTGCCGTTTGTGTTTCTTCTTTTGTGAATTACTTGTAATTTACAAGTAAATTTACTTTGTAAATGAATTACATTTCATTCTCCCTGCCCAGGCAGTATGTTTTCAAGTTCGTATTTATTTTTACTTGTGTGTGTGTGTGTGTGTGTGTGTGTGTGTGTGTGTGTGTGTGTGCAGGTGTGTGCATGTCATGGGGCACAAGTAGAAGTCAGAGAACAACTCTCAGAAGTCGGTTCTTTTCTGTTATTTTGGGGGATATGGGAACTGAACTAAGGTCATCAGGCCCATGTCCCTGCCCACTGAACCATCCTGCTGGCCCCTTTTTACTATTTAAAAATCGTGTTTCTTTATATGAATTTTTTCCCCTTTTTTGGTTTTTTGAGACAGGGTTTCTCTGTGTAGCCTTGGCTGTCCTGAAACTCACTCTATAGACCAGGCTGGCCTTGAATTCAGAGATCCACCTACTGGGATTAAAGGTATCTGTCTCCACTGCCTGGTTCATATATGGGTTTTCAATAGGTGTTGCAAATCCTTTATTCCACAAGAGAGTGTAATCATACCCTATTTGGAGAGGAGATGAGGCTGTATCCCCCATCTTTGACACCTTGAGTTCTCTGCTGGCCTTAGGAAAGCAAGGCCCCCTGTATGGAACAAACAGAACGCTCCCGCCTTTTCCTGGCCTGAGTAGAAAGCCGCACACCCTCACTCGTGCTCCCGCTCCTACTCTGTGTCATGCTCTACAGTGGGACTTTGGGAGTGAGGGAAGCCCCTGAGCAACGATTTCTGGCTCAGACTGTGCTCCACAGGGACAGCTCACCTCTCCACCTGCTTTGGCTGATGTCACCGGTATTCTATTCTGAACACTTCTTCCTGAAAACATTTTCCCATCCATCTACACACCCAACGCTCTTCTGCTGGGTGGGAGCTCTCCGCTCCTGGCTACCACCCAGTCATGTGCACGGTCCATCTGTCATCCTGCTCATGCGCTCCAGCTGGTGGCTTGAGCTATTTTCACTTAGCACCAAAAGTGTCCTGACTCCATGATGTCAGCATTTCTTTAATCAGAAGGACATAGGCTGGTGAGGTTGTTCAGTGGGTAAAGACATTTGCTGCCACCAAGCCTGATGGCCTGAGTTTAAGCCCCAAGACCCACATGGTGGAAAGAGAAGCGACTCCATTAAGATGTCCTCTGACCTCTACATGTATGCATTCACAACAAACAAAGGAACAAATATATACACGTAAAATATTTCTTTAAAGGGTGTGCCCATCATTTGTCAAAGACTGAGTGTCCCTGTGTGCCTGGTGTTGCTCTTAGGACTCTTAGGGAAAACCTTGCTGGTAAAGGCCCTCCCAGTTCCTCATCACACATACCCCAGAGGGACTCTGTCCCCGGAGCATTAGGGACAGAACGCATGTGGCGAGAATTTGCATATATAGCCTCACCGGGTTTCTGCTACTGTTAAGGGAAAAAGCAAAATCAAGCTTAAAGTACAGGGTGGAGTTTTAATAACTCCTTTGCAGGACACTACGTCAAGACTGACCCTTAGACACATTTGGTGCCCTATGGTCACCTCAGTAGACCCTTGAACCCTTCTTACAACATGCTAAGCCCTATCCTAGACACAATTTTCACCCTGAAGGCGCTTGCCATCTGAAGAGATCAAGTCTGTTAGAATCTGGGCAGCAGAGACGGCTCAGTGACTGAGAGCACTTACTGCTAGGCCAGGAGGCAGGAGTTTGGTTCCCAACCACCTGTGACTCCCACTTTGGAGGATGTGACCCTCTTCCGGACTCCTATGGTACTTGCACACATGTAGCACATACACAGACACACAACCACATAAAATTACAATAACATTTCACCAGGTGTGATGGTGCATGTTTTTAATCCCAGCACTAAGGGGGCAGAGGCAGGTAGATCTCTGTTCAAGACCAGCCAGGACTACATAGTGAGACCCTTTTTTAAAAAACAAATCACCCTCCCCCAACCCCACCCCCAAAACCTTTAAAAATGCTAGTCTTAATCTGGTCAGAAGAGGGGGAAAGGTTGCTAGAATTGATGCCTGTCTGATGGAAGGAAGCTAAGAAACCCAGGAAGGACACATCTTTTCATTGTAAATGTCTGTGCTCCCACACCAATGGCCAGAAGATGTCACTGCTAACCCATCTGACAGAGCCAGAGTCCACAAAACTCCAGAATCCACTCATTAGAGGCCAGCGACCACTGCTTGAGACACGGCCTCATGGGGCTTCCACAAGAAGCCCCAAGGCTAGTCAGGGTCTTCCCGGGCTGTTTCTTAGTCATTACCGGGTAAAAGTAGGTTGGTGGCGCCTGTGTCACTTAAAGCACACATACTGAAAATAACCTGAAAAGGATCATGGTGACATATGCCTGGAATCTGGAAGCCGAGACAGGAAGATCATGAGCTTGGCGACCGAGCTACCTATATGCTGAGTTCCAGGTGAGCTCGGGCCACAAAATGAGTCCATTTCTTATCTCTCCCCTCAAGTCTTCTCAAATCTGGTCAAATCTCAGTGTAAACAGAGAGTAAGAAATGTGTATTTTTTTTTTCTAAATTGCTGTAATTCAAGCTATACATTGCCAAGTTTTTATATGGTATACACACATGCCTCTTACTGTCTCACACAGACATCACTAGACTGTCTTTGCTGTACTTTCAAAGGTACATATAGAATTGAAGTAGACATCCTTCTTATAGAGGTTGTCCCAATACAACCTCTGACCGAGGTTGCCTAAGAGATAGTTAGGACATTGCTGACTTGGAAGGAGAAAGAAGTGGCCCAAGCCAGTCAGGAGCAAGGGTGGCAGGCAGGGCCCAGCTCCTCTGCACACCCACGGTCCTGCTCACCTTTGTCACAGGCACCATAGCACACCGCACACACAACACACACAGACTTCAGCGCCATCACTGTCCCCACGCAGCCGAGCTCCAGGCCCCATTTCTAAGAAGGGCAGGAAAGCCGAAAAGAAGGGGTTAGGCGCTTGATGCAAAGCAACAGTCAGGCTGACAATGAGAGGCTGGGGACCGACCAATCACGCCAGGCGTGAAGCCCAGCTCGGAAAGAGGGTGTTCTTCTAACCCTATCACAGGTCCCGTATGGAAGGCTAACATGGGACCTCAGAATAATTTTCTACCTAAACCTAACACCGTCAGAAGCACTTTCAAGATGAAAGTACTGCCCCAAATATGTTTCTATATTCTTTTTTTTTTTTTTTTTTTTTTGGTTTTTCGAGACAGGGTTTCTCTGTGTAGCTTTGCGCCTGTCCTGGAACTCACTTGGTAGCCCAGGCTGGCCTCGAACTCACAGAGATCCGCCTGGCTCTGCCTCCCGAGTGCTGGGATTAAAGGCGTGCGCCACCACCGCCCGGCTCTATATTCTTTTGATGAGATGAGTCCTCTAAGGGGATGTCCTGACTCAAGTGGCATGTCACCTTGCCCTTGTATGTGATTTTTCTCTAGGATCCCAGCACATCTGTCCCCAGCAAGGTGTTGACTGAGCAGGAAATCTGTGCCATCGGCATTGTAACTGGAGACGGTGCTCTGTGAAAAAGTAGCCTCTATACTGTCATCCTTGCTGACCATCACAGACTGTAGCAGTCTTCGGAGCCAGGGAACACGGCACTCTGGATCTGAATAAAACTGACTTTAAGGCAAACTTTTTGGATCACACTCATTGAGCGTGGTCTTTATCTCAAATGGAGTGAATGTCTTCGGCTTCTCCTAAAAGACTGGCAGAATGAGGCTGGAGAGATGGCTCAGAGGTTAGGAGCACTGCCTGCTCTTCCAGAGGTCCTGAGTTCAATTCCCAGCAACCACATGCTGGCTCACGATCATCTATAATGGGATCTGATGCCCTCTTCTGGTCTGCAGGCACACATGCAGAGCACTCATACATAAATCATAAATACATAAACTTAAAAAAAAAAAGGCTGGCAGAATTAGATTTCTACTCTCCAACACATCAAGAAATCTTTAAAATGTTAACCCATCAAATCAACAACAACCAGATAAATACCAGAGCACGTCCCCATGGGTGACAGAGCACAGCTTCCTGTCATTCTCAGGGTAGCTAATGAAGTATCACCACACTCATTTCAAAGAACAGGAAACAGGCTCAGAGAAACGAAGTGCCTGCTTAATATGAAACCTAACTGGTGAGGCGGAGTGTGGCTCTGACCTGGTGTCCCGGTGTCCTGGGCATCAGTGAGTACACTCACTACTGAGCCACAGTGGCCCCTGAAAGACCCAGTTCTGTGCCTGTTATTTTCACCTTCAGTGATTAGCAGGTTAACAGACAGAGCTTTGGGGATAAAAACATTTTTTCTAACTTCTTCTAGCTGGAAGGGAGGGGAAGGGGCCCTTGTGATAGCTTCCATTCTCTTTCCTTTTGAATAGGCCTGGCGGGACCAGCATGCACCGGGAGATACATGCAGGGAGATACTCTGTATCCATTCCTGCTGCGAGCTCAATAGGGAGAGCCCGTTATCCTCAGTTTAGAAGTGTCACACCCAGCGCAGAGACCGCCAGCATGGCAGGCGCTGCACCTGCCTATCCCAGGAAGGCATCTGGGGCTGCTGGGGACCCGTGGCTACCTCTGCAAGAGTGATCCATCTTGTTGAACTGAAAGTAGCCGGACTTGCACTGACACAGGGCGACGCCATCCAGGTCGGTGCAGACGGAGGTCTCTCTGTCGCACTCCGGGCTCTTCCGCTTGCACAAGCTGCCCGCTAGGATGCGAAAACAAGACAGTGAAACCAAACCAAACCTCTTCTCCACACCTTACGATGCACACACTCATCATTTCGAGAGGCCGAGAGTCTTCGTGGAGCCGTATGCCTCTCAGAGGCCCCGCACAGCCAGCCTCTGCCACTTGTTTCCTGGGCACCGCCGGCAAATAAATATTCACAAGCATTCCCTATGCAGAAACCAAAGTGAGGAAGCAGAGGGTACTGCCCAGCCTACAACGGCAGCCTCAGTGTGGTGTATTCTGTACCTTCACGTTAAAGGATTGGGTGTAGGGGCAGGTAGGGGCGCTGGAACAAACCCGGAAAATGTGACCACGTTCTTAGGGAGGTTGAGAGCTTGCACCAAAACCAACCAGTTCTGGCCAGACCAGTCTCAAGTGGAAGCATGTCTGGGCTCTGTGTGTCCTCAGGGGCCCAGGACCACTCCTTGTGTTAGGGCAGTTTGCTTTGCCCCCCAACGCCTTTTTCGGGTTTATCACAGGACCAGGTTTGAATGGTAATCCGATTCCCCGGGGCTGGCAGGAAGCTGTTTGTCTGGCTGTCTTCCCACCACAGTGGGGATTTCTTGAGGTTCATTCAGCACTGGGTCTTCAGCACAGAGACCAGCCAGTGAGCATGTGCCGGGGTGGGGCTGGGGGCAGGTGTCCTACCCATCAAGCACCACACCATCACCGGAAGAAACAGAAGCAGGCAAGGAAGGAGGCCAGCTTGAAGGCCGCTTCCCTGTTCATTTGTGGGCTTTATTCACCTCATGGACGAGGAAGAGTCAGTTTATTAGTATCAAAAAGTATCCACTGCTGGGCACATGGTCCTTTATGAGGTTTTATACAGCAAACACTATGAAGGATACAATTTACCACCCAAGGTAAGCAAAGAGGCACATGTAAATGGATGCACAGAAAGAGCAGAACTACGAAACCAAATGGATAGTGACTAATAACTTATCTACACATGTACAAGGTAAATAAGACATATGTGTGCTGTTGCTTCCCAAGTTCAACATGGGAAGACAACTTCAATTAGACGGGCAGTGTGTGCAATGTACGATCAAGAGGAGGCGCCAATTTTGTAGGCATAGTCTCTCTTCTATCTCCAAGAAAAGACCCCAAGCTCTTCGGAAGGTTCCTGTTATTAACACTGTAAAATTAACCCTTGTCTGGGCAAGTTCTGGTGATGGAGGCTGATGCCAGCGCTTGACAGCCCTGGTGGAATTCCCAGCATCCACCCCTTTTGAGAGTCCTGAGAACTGAGGCCGGGAGACTGCCTGGTCCCAGCGGGGTGAGTTAGGGTACAGCTTCAATTCTCCGCGCTGAACTTCCTGCCTTTATCAGTGGAAGCTGACGTGTTAAATCTGGGTTCCTTTGTTTATTGTAAAAAGTTTGTATTTAAGGGGAAACTTTTAAGCGGGGGAAAAAAAAATCTCTCCAGGCGAACTGCAAAGCCGGCACCAGGGAAGACCTGTCTCCACAACCTCTCATCCGACTTCTCTGAAGGCTCTGCCCGTCAACTAGGTAGTAGAGAGCAGCGCCTGCAGGATAAAGCATTGTCCAGGCCATCCTGGCCTGGGAACTGCCCGGTCTCATTTTCTGGAAGTCAACGTTGTTTTCCTTCCATCCCCTCCACTGATTTGGACTGCTAGCAAAAATATTCCTTGCCATGCCCAAGCAACCATTTCCTGCCCAGCATCAGATTCCTGTTTGAACAGGGAGGGCAGGTCCTGGCCCTGCAGCGAGGAGCTGTTTTCCTCAGCCTTCTCAAAGGACATTTTCACAAAGCCACCCAACAGGACCTTGCAGAGCCTTACTTAAATCGATCCCTGGTTATGTGAGTCTTCAGCGTTCACAACTCCCATGGTCTTTCCCGGGCATAGCATCCATCCAAACAGACAATGGGCGCCCACATGAGTCTAAGGCTAAGGCATTCCATGGGGGATTTCCACAGTCTCTGAACCTCGGGAGACCATGAGAACTTAAGTGCTTTGAAAGGAGGAAGGCGGACATTCAGTGGACTGAAGGGAGAAAACCATGCTTGCCAGTGGCAATGTCCAGAGCAGCCTCGCGGCCCAGATGCTGGAAATCCAGGTGTGTAGCACCTGCTGGTCTAGCCTACCTCTCTAGTTCCAGAAAAATTACCAAGAGACAGGGCTGGACCTCTTGACCAACCCTAGAAAAGGTCTGGAGGAAAACCAGGGATGGGAGCCCCATGTTGGCTAATGTGCCTGGCTGTCTTTATTCTCAAGAGATTGGGAAGGAGCAGTGGGGACGGTCTGAAGGTGACCACATGGGGGCAGTCCAAACAAGGCAGCAGAGTGAGCAGGCACAGCCAGGAACAGGCTCTTGCAAAGCCTCATAATCCGGCCACTTGACCTGCAAAGCACAGATGCATGTGCTGGTGCAAGAAAAGCACCCTAGCTCAACACTGACCACACAAAGTGCAGCCCAGAAACGGTTAGCAAACTGAAGGGGACCTACCTGACTGGGAGAAAAAAAAAATGGTACCCTTGAGTCCTTGGCAAGAGAAACAAAACCCTAAAACCAGAAAGCCTCAAAGTTTCCAGCCCATTATAACAGGGCATGAACTTTGAAACAAAACACTCCGACTCTGCTACGTTTAGTCCATTTCCCCCCAATCACTAAGCAGTCAACCCCCAAGAGCTTATCTGACAATGAAAGGTTAAGTGCCAGCTCCCAGGCTCAGCAGCACACTTGCTCATGCAAAGAAAGGCCCTGGACCAGCAGTTATAAAATCCTGACCTACTGGGAATATCCTAGACCAGCCACCGGATATGGTACCAAAACCCGATACCTTCAATTTATGTCTAACATCTGGATGCCAGATGGGGAGGCTTAGCCTAGGCTCTCTTTGCTTTGCTAGCCCTCAGCCAACGGTACAACAAACTAACGAGAGTCCACTTTGATCACTTACGATGCACCAACAGGGACTAGCTCTCTTTGCCTAGAGGCATTTGTGATTCCAACCAGTCTTCCTCTCCCAGATGTAAAACCATCCCCATGAGATGCAAGTGTGCCTCTAAGATTTGTCTCTAATCACCTTCTTCGTTACCCTAAGACAGGGCAAGAGCTCTGACAAAATAGACAAGAACCAGGGAAGGGAGAGCCTCATCACAGCATTCCTGGGAGCATCCTGCTGTGCATTCTCCCGATCACATGTTTTTATGATAGAAAACAAACGAAAGACAGGTAATACGGCACATGGGTTTCTGTTTTCTTCTTAGTAATCACCATATGAAGTTTGCTGGATCATTGACAAGTCTACACACTCTGTACATCACTTTCTGTCTCCCTAGGAAACAGGAGTAATATCTTTTGGTTCCATCAGTTCCTGTAGCATCTTCTCACCCCGGCACTGTATAGAAGAAACAGAAGGAACCGGACACCAAGCACTAGATGCCCAAAGGCCATGCGCAGACAGAACTGTGTGCTTCTGAGTGTCCTGAAGGCCTGTGCTTCAGACATTCTAAAGGTAGGTAGGCTCTGTGAAGGAGCTTTCCTGATCCTGAGCCCTGAACGCCTCTCATTTCTCTCCGGTCTATGTGAGTCCTAGAGGAACCTCTCCTTACCTCTAAAGATCCGCCTCTGAGACCCCAAGAGCTGGCAAACTTCAGCAGAGGACCTGCAGGAATTGACATATTTCTGGATCCCATCAGCCAGGTCAAACAGCGTCACATTGGAGGCCAGGGCAAAAGTGGATTGTAGTGAGATCACCACTGTATTGGGCTCTCTGTAGGCAAAGTTAGTAAAACCTTAACTGACCAAAAGTGACATGTGGGTCCCAGCCAGTTTGCAAAATAAATGTTACTGCCACTTTCCAGCAAAAGAATAGGAGAGCATGAAGGTCCAGTGACCTTCCCTTGGGTTACCCAGTGGATTAGTCATAAAACAGAGACTGGCTTTATTTTGATCACCCATGTGGTAACAGCCCACCCCCCATTCCATAACCGGTTCACAAGCAATAGAAATTCCGTTTCTTACCTAGACACAGCAACTGTAGATCGGATATAACCAGGCAACGTTGAAAAACACAAGTTTAACTAAAACGAAGAACAGGGCTGTCAGACAAACACCCCTGAACCAAGAAGCAATTTCCTATTTTCAGAATAAAACAGGTGGTTTCTACACATCAAGTTATCAGCAGGCAGCTTTACCCAAAGCTGTGTGTGTGTGCGCGGCCTTGTGTTCCCTGCCTGAAGATCTTTCTGTTGTTGCCCGAGAACAGAGGGAACAGGGCAGATAGTGGGGGGAAGCTTGGCAGGAAATGGTGTTCAGAGCAGCACCCTCAGAAACAAAACATCTTCAAAGGAGAGGAGCCCTTCTAAGATCCAGGGTCTCAAAAAAACAGGCAACTGTTTATTTGGACTCTGCATAGTGAACAAGCTCGCTCAAAAGGCTCAGCTCCTCTCGGCTCCCCAGGTCTGATGGGCCCCCCAGGCTCCTCATAATCTACAATGAGTTGACCTAACTCCAAGACAGGTTTCCCTCAGAAAGGCTCTCTGTGGGAAATTACATGGCGTGGGTCAAGAGCTCTTTTGTTGAGACTAAATGAAGAGCTGTGTGTTTGCCTTGTGCCCCGGAGAGAGCAGAAAGACTCGCAGCCATAGAAAGCATTGTGCCTGCCTCCTTAGCAGCCCTCCGCAGCCAAGCTGGAAATCCTTTTTATGGAGCAGAGAGTCTCGATATCTCACCCCAGGCAGACCCACCACCTGTCTTCTAAGTCAGCGTTCAGAGCCCTCTGACTTGGGAAGATGGGGTCAAGCATGGACCGTTATCGAATGGGTGCAGGTAGGTCTGTAAGTCATTACATTCTAGTCTAAGAGCAGTGGTTATTATTGGTGCTTTATTATTAACCTTTTATCCAGGTATGAACAGGATGCCATTTTGGGAAGGCCCACGCTAGTGGCTTTCCCGATGGCTGCTTAACTCGTCATGTTAGTGGGGGTCAGGTGTGTCAAGGTTCAGTGTGTTATATGGTGATATTGGGCCAGACACACAAACAAGAAATACTTAGTTGCTTGGTACAGTGTTACATGAAGGGCTGCTCTTTTGCACTGGGCTCTAACCCCTGCACTATGTTAGAGGAAAATATCTACCTGCAGAACAACCAGGAGGCAGCAACGGTACATCGGCGAGTCTGCTTTTGGCTAAAGCGGTCATGCCTCTGCCCTTGCAAGGCCGTTTCTAAGCTTCACAGTGTCCTTCTTGACAATAATGATTTTACTGAGCTGGGACTCCTGGGCCAGGCCAGAGTATCTGGCATAGTCCCTATCACTAGCCATCTGATCGCACTAATAATGTGAACAACAGAAGGAACTCTGGGTCACACGGCATCAGCTCGGCCTCTAGAGGGTCTAGGACTGAAGTCAGCCACATGGGCAGCCAACCACGTCTATAGGGCAAAGTCCAAATAAATGCCTTGGACACCAAGGCTCAAGAGCATTGTGGCGGGCAGTACTCCTATAGTCACACACTGTTGGCAAGAGGTACCAACAATGTCAATAACACCCCAGGGCCAGAGTAACTAGAAGTTTTGCATTTGGGACCCCCAGACTCTGCCCCGGGCATATCTTCCCTTAGCTAAGTTTAACTGAAAACCTTCAGTGCAGTGAACCATATATATGAAGATACTGGCCTCCACTGAGTTCTGTGAGTCCTAAAAACTATTGGAATTTAGAGTGCACTGAGAAACCCCCAAACTTGCAGTTAGTGTGAGCAACACAGGTGACCTAGGGGACTGCTTTCAGCTCGGCTTCCACTTAGTGTGGACTCAGACAACGCCACCAACTTCCAGAGCCTCCCAGTCTTCAATCTGAAAATGTGTCACCTACCCTCTTACAGGAGTGAGCATCTGGCGTAGTCCCTGTCACAGATTAAATGCTCAGTAGACACAAAAATGGAATTAAAATACGAATAAAACCTGCAGTCCTAAAAGAACATCTAATTCCTGGCTAATATATGAACTCCAATTTAATGTAATAGCAAATCCAATTGCATTTCATTTCATCTCTGATTTAGTACAATGGCAAACTTCGATTCTCAAAACACCAAATCTAAGCCGGGCGGTGGTGGCGCACGCCTTTAATCCCAGCACTCGGGAGGCAGAGCCAGGCGGATCTCTGTGAGTTCGAGGCCAGCCTGGGCTACCAAGTGAGTTCCAGGAAAGGCGCAAAGCTACACAGAGAAACCCTGTCTCGAAAAACCAAAAAAAAAAAAAAAAAAACACCAAATCTTTGGCTTGGGCAGCAGCTGAGGACAAAATACATTGTCTGAGTTTCGTTTTGATTTCTTTTTATCCAGTTTTCTTTTCAGATAGAAAGGAAGGAGCAGCATCTAAGGCCCCTAGACAATGTACATTGTGAGCTCACAAGGCCGGCTAATTGGAATTAGTATCAGGCCGCTGGCATCCTCCGAGGAGAAAGAGTGGCCTTTCTGAGCTCTCAAAACACAAGGTCGTCATATCGGTGTCAACAGCAGATGGGACACGAGGGTTTCCTGGGTCCTTCCTCTTCACCCGAAGCCCACACTGGCGCAGGGCATCACTGTGTTGTCTATGTGTTTGCACATGAAAAAGAACCAGCCTAGCAGATAGGAACCGCGCATGAACATGTATCTAGAGCAGCATTCTTCCTGGACTCCGCAGATCTCAACAACTTTCTCCTGTTTCCAGGACACTTTTTGCCTCACCTTGCACTTTCCCTTCTAAGTACAAAAGCAAGTCTGGGGGACAGATGACCCTGAGTAGCGTCCAATTCTGAGTGAAATCTGGCCTAGAAAACGAAGGACAGGAATGAGGAGGCCTTTCAGGAGACTTACCGTGTGAGCGATCTCATTCTCAACCTCGTGAGTGTCGGAATGGTTGTCCACGGTAGTGTTGAGGAAAGTCTTCTTTAATTTAAACTCAGTCACGAAGGTTCTAACTGAAAAGGAAGATGTTGCCTGGTAAGCCACACAACAGAGAGACCAACGCAAGGCTATGTATTCGTAAACCTCTGGGACGACCAGCTTCACTCCCCCACAGGACAATCTGTGTGCGTCTTCTTGAGGGTGAAGGCCACACCTTCCTCTCCGAGAAGGTAACCAAGGGCTGACAAAGGAGCAGGGCAAACGTGTGTAGTAGGTGTCTACTCCAAGGTGCTAAAGATTCCACCATTCTCAGCCACACAATGAAAACAACCCTCATTAGAAACATGGCTGGGCCCAGAAATGGGGAAAGCATCCCCATTTTTAAAGCCCATTTCACTCATAAAATAAAATCCTAGGTAACACCAATTTGTGCTGATTGGCCCTAAGGGAAGTGAGACTTGAAAATGGGCAGACAACCAAAAATTAGTACAGCCTGTTTTTTTAGAGCTGGCTCTTATCTTTCATTATATTAAATTCATATATCTTTCCCTCTGGACAGAAAAAAAAAAAAAAAAACCCCGAAACACAGAGGCCTATGAGGCCATTCTAGCATGGAAACCTTGCATGCTGAATTAAGAGGAAGGCCAGAGAAAACATCTAACATCTTAGAGTTAACTGTCTAAGGCCCCTAATCCTTATTTAACATCCTTTCGCTTGCTCTACAGTTCAGTGAAGCCAGCTGCTTAGGACTCTTTCTGAACAGCAGGCAGCTCTTTGAAAACACTCTGGGCCAAGCGAAGGCATTTCAGCACGCTCTAATTTGCATGTTCCTGTGATCTGTACGAACAATGAAGCCAAACGGCTTGAAAAGGGAAAGATGGCTGTTGGCACAATCGAAGTGCATTCCTTCCATCTGTGCTACCTGTGGGACAGTCTACACACAAGCTTCCAGGACAGTCACCTGACCCGGTCATCTTCACGTCTCACACGCCCAAGTTCAAATCCAGACTCTCCATATAGAAATGTGCACAGGGAAAGGGTTAGGCACACAGAAGTTTCCTGAATGTGCCTTCTGTTTTAAGCCTGAGAAATATAGCCTGCCTTCTCCCAAACCCTGTCCTCTTTCCTAGAAGGGCTTTGCTGAGGCATTTATTTATTTATTTATTTAGGTTTTTTGAGACAGGGTTTCTCCGTGGAGGCCTGGCTGTCCTGGAACTCACTCTGTGTAGACAGGCTAGTCTCAAACCCACAGAGATCTGCCTGCTTCTGCCTTCCAAGTGCTGGGATTAAAGGTGTGAGCCTCCATCGCCTGGCTGCCGAAGGCATTTATACCTCTGTGGAGAGGACGCTATGCTTGGCTTTAAGTTGCTGGTTATTGTAAAAACAGTGACTTTCAGCCTATGGTTATGCCTGGGTAACTCTATTTTATAAGCTGCATTTGACTCTATTTCATGTTGTGAACAAAGACACTCCCTCCTGCCCAGAACCACCCACGGGGCACAGACTGATAAATATCTTGCAAGAATATATCAAATTAAATTGGGCTTCTGTATGAGTATACGGCTTACTAAAACTTATTGGAAAGCAAGGCCCTACAGCTTATGAAACACGCCAAGGAAGGTTGCAACACTCTTTCCTGCACCCCATAAAGAGGTGAAACTTGACATGCTACGGCATTGCCCCCAGCAACCTGGCATCTGACCACCCAGAATGCACAGGGACGGCCTGACTCTCTATAGGGCTTCCGCTCGGCTCAGTCTCCACTGTTGACATGGTATTCCTTGTCCCTTTGTCCATCTGGACCCAGTCCTGCACAGGACCTCATGCCTATGACCTACACGGGCCTGTGCTTCACCTCCACAGTCCTGCTCCTCTAGAGCTCATCTGCCCCAGTTGTAGCCTGCAGCCCCGCAGCGGCCCAATGTGCTCCTCAGCAACTCTCCAACTGGATTCCTGATGTAACAACTAAAGTTCACTTCTCATCAGCCTCAGCTGTCTGCCACCTTAACCCTTTCATGGCCATTCTGTAACCTACACACACACACACACACACACACACACACACACACACTGTGATGTGTAACGTCATTAATCTCAGAGTTAATATTAGTAATTCAATTTGGAATAGAAGGACCTATGCTTGCCAACGGCCAGCTATCAGGGGAAATCAGAATAACTTGGCAAATTATAGCAAATGAAATTGAAGTAGCCTGTGAATTCATTGTTCCTTAATAAATTCTGACATTGTGGAAAGACACAGATGTGTCCGTGTTTCTAATATAGTTAGCGTACTCAAGACAACTTCCACGGCTGCAGTTACATCATCTAGCTTTAAGACAGGCATTGGAAAAAATTACTACATTTATTTACTCTGTGTGTGCTTTGGGCACGCGTGCGTGCATGTGCGTGCGTGTGCCAAAGTACCCGTGTGAAAGTCAAAGAACAGCGTGCATGAACTGGCTCTCTCTTTCTCCCATGTGAATCCCAGGAATCGAATTCAGGTGGTCAAACTTGGCAGCAAGTGCCTTTGCCTGTTGAACCCTCTCACTGGCCCACGACAGATTTGTATCTCAATTTAACTGCCAATTTCACTAGTGACCTATGGCAACTACTTTGCATTGAGAGCAGTCTGCTTTCATAGCAACCAGTCTGGTGGATGCTACCTCCCAGCTGGACCGCTCTTTACCACACTCAGAGCTTGCTCAAACAGATCATTTCATTCGACATTCCCAAAACCTTGAGTGAGAAGTGGAGCAGACGGCAATCTGATTTTACAGATGAGGAAATAAGAGGTTCTGGCTATGTGTTGCAGGTGGTAGCTGAGAGCCCGAAGCCGGGCACTTGAAACCTGGCAGGTGTACTTTCCACAGGGCTTCAAAACACAAACGCAAATGAACATATCCCCATCTCCATCCTCTGACTGCACACTCTCCTCTAGCTCCCTATAGGGTGTGGCTACATGAAACAGGCTACCCAAATGCATATAAACTATTACAATAAGAACAATTCTTGACTTTGACTCACGTCTGTATCTGTAGATTTTTCTTTCTGAAATAACGCTCAATTTCAAACAATTTTCAAAATTTTTATTTTAGGAAAGTGCCAGCCTTACGAAGCCCCTTCTGCCTCTGGGTAATAGGAATTCATGCAGGCAACACTTGCAGAAGGCACAGGCATCCTTTCTCTCAAAAACATTGACTGAGCACTCATGTATGAAGCATCACACTGGGCAGCCGAAGCTGATTCAAAGGCAGACCATTTTACCTGCTAGTTTCTATTCACAGCTTTGAAACTGTATTTCTCATTCTAATTTCTCCAGCAAGCAAGAAATTAAGTTCAGCAACCTAACAAGGGTCACGCCCTGTGTGCAAGAACGCTCTTAACAGTGAACACACTCTTGTATAACAGAAAGAACTGCAGCCTGAGAACCGGGACTCATCCCCGGTGACCCAAGCTTGGCTGCCGAGCCTCTCTTGAGAACCTTAGTTCTCACTGGGTTTGTTGATATGTTTTTTTAACCTATAAGATGAAGAATGAGGGGTTGGGGATTTAGCTCAGTGGTAGAGCACTTGCCTAGCAAGTGCAAGGCCCTGGGTTCGGTTCTCAGCTCTGAAAAAAAAAAAAAAAAAAGATGAAGAATGAATTTAAAACCAATGAGCTTCATGGACCTGCCAAATGAGGAACAGAATATGTCCCATATGGTGGACCGATTCTAGCAGCAGCTATGTCAAAATGTATGTCTGTGCCTAACAACCTGAGGACCACTTTTAAAAACAAGAAGAATGTGTGCACACAGAGGGCAATCAGAACTTTACTCTGTGCTCACTCTAAAATTGCAAAACAAAACAAAACAACTATGTACTCGGAATATCCTCCGGGTCTTTTTATTTCCTTAACTACAGGGTAGAATGGTTGAGCAAGTAATGTTATGCACACATGAGCCTGTTTTGCAGGCATTAAGATATTTGTGCTTTTTAGTAACCTGCATATACTTACGGATGTATCTTGAATTTAATATGTAAATGTTAAATGATGTAAATAGACTGTACATCAACAAACTCTGAAGAAAAGTATTAGAATAGCAGGCGCTGTGCTTCACTTCCTTCTATATTTCTGCATTTTGTATCTTGGAAAAAAACATTGGCTTTGAGTAGGAAGAAAAACAGCCAATAAGCGCCAAGACAGACTTAACTCTCTTACCCAGATTGCATATTCCTTTCTCCAACTGATACCCGACTGGGCATCTGCAGCTGAAGGATCCCTGAGTATTGTTGCAGGTGGCTAGGGGTGGGCAGGGGCTGGAGAGGCACTCATTCACATCTGCGGAGGACAAAGAAGGAGAGCATGCTGATGGGCGGCCGACAAAGAGTTATAACCCAGTGCCTACTGAGAATCAAGTGGCACTCTGTGGCGTGTGGGGTGAAAGAGGAGCAGGAAACCACCCCTGTCCTCCAGGGAACGACTACCGGTCAGGGCAGAGGCAGCCATATGAAGAATTAACTAGAATACGAGACAGGGTTTGGTTGTACAGAGCTGTACATAGATCTAGTTTATTGTTTGTTGTGGGCTTTGTTGTTGTTGTTTTGAGACAGGGTTTCATCCTTTCATGTCTGACTGGCCCAGAACTCACCATGTAGACCAAGGTGGTCTTGAACTCACAGAGATCCCACTATTTCTGGTGCCTGGGTTCTGGGATTAAAGACACACGCAGCAGAAATAGTAGGCTTTGATGCAGGGGAGAATTAAAGACTGTTTTAAATACTATTTGAATATAAATAAGACTAACGGGACTTCAACAAGCAGATTTTTGGGAGTAGGCTAGGGTTCCAAGCTGAGGGACCAGCAGAGTAGATGCCCAGGGCAGGGAAGGGTAGGTGTCTTTAGGGAGCTGCAGATGGTCCGGTGTTACAGGGGTGTAGAGAAGTTATGGAATAGAACCAGGTCAAAAGTTTGTTTGTATCATGCTGTGGTCCTTCTTGTCATATACAACACACAAGCATGCTAACACTCAAGCCAAGAGGCTATTAAACTAAAAATCTTGCCCATGTACACTCTAGAAGAAAAAGGCTCTTTTAAAAATTGTTGTTTTCAATTATGTATATGTATGTGAACACATGAGTGCAGGTGCCCCCAGAGGCCAGAGGTATCTAACTCCTTTGGAGCTAAAATGACAGGCAGTTTTGAACTGCCTGATATGGATGATAGGACCCAAACTTCGGTCCTCAGAGAACACAGTACGCACTGTCCACCCTGGAAAAAGGATCTTACTGAATAGCCCGACAACCCACGGTAACATCATAATAAATGTCCCTGTCTCTCTTACCCACACTGCAGTTGTCCCCTTGCCAGGCAGGTGGGCACACACATCGATACCCACGACCGGTGAGGTCCACGATACATTCGCCATCATGAAGACAGGGGTTCGCGGTACAGCTGTTGACTGAACACATCACAGGAATAACACAGACATGTCAGAGCAGCCCCGGTAGACACCTCGTTCTCACAGCTAATGTTTGCTTCCTGCCTATGTTCGTTTGCTTGCCCTGAAAAATCACACCACTACAACAGAACAGAGTCCCAAGAGGTTTGCAGACAGAGGTGATGAAGTCGGGCACTGACACTAGTGTGTGTTCATGTCAAGTGTTAGATAATTAGATCTCCAAATTCAAAAAAGCACATTCAATGCTTCCTGCAAGCCAGTCAGTTCAGGACTGATAATTCTATGGCCTTTGTGATACTAGACTAGTGAATATCAACTTAAAACACATTTTTTTTTTTTTTTTTTGGTTTTTTGAGACAGGGTTTCTCTGTGTAGCTTTGCACCTTTCCTGGAACTCACTTGGTAGCCCAGGCTGGCCTCGAACTCACAGAGATCCGCCTGGCTCTGCCTCCCGAGTGCTGGGATTAAAGGCGTGCGCCACCACCGCCCGTCTTAAAACACATTTTAAGGTGGAAAGAATCCCTGGTCAATTTATCCTGCCTGCTCCAAGATTCACTCTGTGTGTGTACACAAATGCATACATATGCACGGCTTACTTTTTCTTTTGGATTTTGTCAAAACTATAGAAACCTTTACCTGAAAATCTTGAAACATACATACTTGTAGTTGCTATGCTTTTTGGGTTTTTTGTTTGTTTGTTTGTTTTTTATTTTGAGATGGTCTCATGTAGCCCAGGCTGACCTCAAATTAATTATAAAGCTCAGGCTGGCCTTGAACCCCTGGCCCACCTAACTTGGTACCTCTCAAGTGCTGGGATTATACACATTCACCACCATGTTCAGCTTCCAGATGTCTCGAAATTTAACCTGGCCTCCTCCACAGGTTGTACACCATCTGGAAAACTATCAGGTAAACATTGCCAAGCCTTTTCCTTTTTCTTTACTGTCTGAGGCGGGGTCTCATGGAGTTCGTGCTGGTCTCAAACTCCTAGGCAGACTGGGACGACAGTGAACTTCTGATCCTCCTGTCTCTGCCTTCCAAGTGCTAGGATCGCAGGTGTCCCATCGGCCCTTCCTCTCCATATACAAAAACAGGCCCCATCTGAAGTCAGGGGGGCCTTTGTGGTTAAACTCTACTGTCGCCTTGGCCTCTTATTCATTCCCTGCCCCATGATGCCCACACTCTGTTTTCTTCTATGTAATTAGAAGGGTCGTGCTCCAGCTGTGAAATGCCTGTTCCATAAGGGGTTTTGAAACACTCTTAGAAAAGCCCCAAACCTACAAAATGGCGTCATCATTTGCAGGGAGGAAATCCTTGGGGAACAAGGGAAAGAAAACAGAAGTCGGACCTTCAAAGAGTAAGCTGAAACAAATGGGCTGCTCTAGACAGGGCAGTCCTATTCTTCACGGCCATGGCTGAAATTTGTTATTCTGAAGTTACGTGTATGTGGGGGGTGGGCAGGAGCACGTGGGCACACTGCTTCTGGAGGCCAGGGGAAGGCGTTGCAATCCCTAGTATTGCTCCGTGTGGGTACTGAGAAGCAAACTCAGGGCCACTACAAGAACATTGTACCCTCCATAAACAGACACCGAGTCATTTCTCCAGCCCCACACTTTGTCACCCAGCATCACCTATGTGAGCAGAGCATGTATATGATTAAATGCGGTGCCCATTACGTAATCCTATAGTCTCCAGTGACTGTACTGCAGACACCCACCCACAGGAACTGTAACAACTAAACCCTTGCCTTAAGGGAGTCTGGTGAACCTGGGAGTGGACGTATTGGCCAGTGGAAATGAAGATTTTTTTTCTGGAGAAGTGATTCGTCTTTCACTTCTTGGACACACTCGGATGGCTGAGAAGCGGGCACCGTTGACTAGCAGTGGGGATGGCTTCTGACCCTGCACCCCAGGTTGGTCTTCACTGACTCACTGAAACTGTACCATTAACTGAGCTCTCTGCTGTAGCCGCCACACAGCAGTTCCTCCTTTCCCTCTTACTTAAGATGGCGTCCACCTTGCCGTCTTCAACAGCGGTTCTCCCTCATGGAGTCTGGATCAACTACAAGTGCCCTGTGAACACCACTTCCTGCTGGGTCCTGCTTCTACCTCTCTTTGCCCTGGGTTAGCTTTCTTTTCCTTATATCGGTACCTTCAACACGGCTGTGCAGATAATCTCACGTACAAGGTAAAGAAACACTGGGAAGAGGTTTGCCGAACATCCTTTTGTTTACACGTCCTCTGGTTTCCAACTAACATCAGGGAGACAAAGAACTCTGGGCTTCCCTGGATGGAGAGAAGCCTTTGACCCTGAAGGACCCTGAGCTGACTGACTTGGAAGCTCTGGACTGTCTCTGGAGAGCAGGCATTCAACTCAGCCCTACCTCTAACGGACCACCTAGAGCTTCTTTTTTCTTGGGTGGTGCTGGAGAACTTGCTGGAGACTGTGCACACGCTAGGCAAGCGCTCTAGCCCCATTCCACACCCTAGCCCCGCTAACACTGCCTCTTCAGTTTCTCCACTGTCCAAACCCACATCTATGCCTGGCTCTGACCTCAGATGAGTTAAAGACACGCTTGAAAAGCTTGGACAATAACAGAGCATGAAGGGCGACAGTTATAACCTCTATGCACGTCACACAGGGCCAAAGTGTCCTCTCTCCTCTTTCTTCAGAAAATCATGTAACTTGGGGGGATACGAGGAGAAAATTAGGCCTATACTGCCCATACTTCATGCTTCGTGTTTCAGTAAGAGTCATTCTCGGTCATAGGACAGACATTGTTTCAAACACTGGCCACGTCCACACGTTCACACAGACCCCCAGCCCTTTGCAGCTCTAGTGCTGGTCAGGGCCTGACGGTCAGTGTGCGTGTTTGTAAGATGCATTTACCTGGGGCTGGAGGTGACAGTGCTGTTGGTGACTGTGCGGTGCTCTGAGCAGCGAAGGTGGTATATTCGGAAGTCGACATTTCGGCTGTAGAAACATCTGTAGTTTGAGGTGAAGGTGTTCTGAGAAAATGGGAAACCAGGCTGGCCTCTTCTGCCTGGCCCAGCTTTGTGGTCTCTTCTGCTGATGTGGGAGTGGTGGTCAGAGGGGCAGAGTGAGTGGTAGGATCCATATGCACCCGGTTCCCTTCTGTGGTGACGGCCTGTTCTGTTGAGGTGTGCAGCACTAGAATGTCAGGATTGGTTGGCAGGTGCTGTTCCTCAGGGGTAGTGGGCACAATCCCAGCACCTGGGGTCAAAGCTTCCGTGCTTGACAGGGTGCTGGGACTGGTCACAGGAGAGTGAGTAGTCTGGGAAATGGGAGATGTCAAAGCTGGAGACATCTGGGCTAAGCTGGTGCTTGTGGCTAGAAGGGCTGGCTCTGTGGAGAACCCCATTAAGGCTGGGGACCAAGGGGTCCCTGGAGGAAGGCTCATCGTTACTGGTTTGGTAGAGTCCGTGGGCAGAGACACCAGGCTTGGTGACTTTGCTTCCGTGACGGTTTTCTCTTGCTGTGGGGTGCTCTGGTTCTTGGGGTCTGCTGTCTGGTTACTGGGGAACACCACTACAGGGGATACCACTGTTGACATCTGGACTGAAGTTACACGTGGCTCCCTTGCCCTGTGTGGGATCAGGGGAGACAATGAATGTGGGACGGTCGTTTGTGGGACAGAGTGTGGGGCAGAGGTTGACACCACGAAGGAGATGGGTAAAGGTGACGGTGAGGATGTTGAAGGTGTGGCTGGCTCAGAGGTAGACTTCAGCTGCTGTGTGGGAGACCCGGTTGATGGTAAGGTGGATGGAAACTGGTGGGGTTGTAACACTGAGGGGAGAGGAGAAGGGGCCGCTTCAGAGGGGTCCTCAACAGACTGAGTGCTGGCATCAAGACCCAAGGTGTCTGGCACATTAACGGTGGATGTATAGGATGGAAGGTGGGATGTATGCAGATCCAGTGACTCGGTGGAAGACTGAGCAGGTTCGCCATCATAGGAGGACACGTTACTTCTTTTAGTCTGAGCCTGAGAAGAAGAAAAGTCCAAGCGTGGAGGGTCTGAGATCCTAATATAAGAGGTTGAGCTCTCGCTGGAGTCTGAGGAGGACGAGTTTTCTGTGATGGACAGTAATGTCCGTTCTCCTTTGGTGAAAGTAGACGAAACATAGGCGTGGTCTGTGTGGTCACCGGAAGTCCTCTGTTCCGCGTCTGAGGCGGGCTCTTGACCATCGTTAAGTCCCGTGACTACAAAGAGAAAAGACAAAGTCGGTCAAGTAAACAAGACATCTTTTTTTTTTTTTTCAGAGCTGAGGATCGAACCCAGGGCCTTGCGCTTGCTAGGCAAGCGCTCTACCACTGAGCTAAATCCCCAACCCCAACAAGACATCTTTGAGACAAGCTCTGGAAAACGTTCTTCGCGTCTTATCCACGAACTTAAGTGAGGGAGACACTGCCTCTGAGAGGTGACTCCTCTCGGTACACACTCTCAGTGAAGACGATGCCGGAAGCTAAAATAGCCAGCCAGGGTCAGCTCAGCGCAGATCCCTCCTGTGAGGACCAGGGCTAGTGACATACATGGGAATAAAGGCGAAGTGCAGAGCCTAAAAATAGGGACTATTTCCAAAGCCCTTCTTCACGTCATTTTTAAATAAAAGCAAATTGCCATGGAAAGGCGCCCAAGATCCCAAACAGTTATTGCCATTATCAAAACGGAAAAAAGGAAAACGCTCCCAACTTTCCACTCTGTGTAATGAGGTATTTCTTCCCGGGAGATGGTCTTCACCACAGTGGCTGCTCTCCTCTATTTTAAACCTCTCAGGCAGATGTCATCCCATCTACCTCAAGCAAGCACGAGGCGATGGGGGTGGGAGAACCCAGAAGGTTCTTTTCCTAATGAGCAGTAAGCTACTTTTTCCGGTTGCCAGCCCATGTAACCACCCCAGGGCTGTGAGCCAATCTACAGACAGGAAGGTGGCTGCGGGAAGACACACCTCCGAGGGTAGCTGTCCGGGACAGCAGGCCCGCATGCTCCGTCACATTCCCACGTGGAGTGGGGCGCGCTGGGTGGGTCGCAGCACGAGAGAGGCCGAGGGACCGCAGTGTGCGTTCCCCGCCCCGGGTGAGCATCGCAGACGTGTGCGGGGCGCGCACCATGGAAGTGCTCTCTGCCAGGTCCAAGCTGTCACTCAGCAGGGCACCATCTTCCGGAGCTACAGGAAAGAGAGAGCAGGTAAATGCAGGGACAAGGACTTTTAGCCTCACGTTCTGGGCCACTGGAGACCAGAGGCTTCCCTGAGGCTCTTTATCTGCGACCAGAGAGCTGACACCTCTCTGTTCGGGTGTCCTGAACGTCACCATAAGGATTGTTACTCCAGCCAAAGGATCCAGAATACTGGATTTTTGCTCGGTGATACATTATAACGACCAGAGTTTTATCAGTGAAGCTGGTGGCAAGTTCAGGGCCTGGCCTGTGGAGTGTCAGTCACCATGGGTCAAAAAATAGCATGGATGCTGGGTGGTGGTGGCGCATGCCTTTCATCCCAGCACTTGGGAGGCAGAGGCAGGTGGATCTCTGAGTTTGACGCCAGCCTGGTCTACAGAGTGAGTTCCAGAAAGCCAGGGTTGTTACACAGAGAAACCCTGTCTCAAACAGCAACAACAACAACAATAACAACAACAACAACAACAACAAGATACTAGTATATAACCTGATAATTCCAAGATAGCACGTCTCCATATAAAGTGTCCCCGAACAAACATAGGGACACTATTAATAATAGTGCATCCCTGATGGAACATTATTCAGAAGGACAGATCCATGCTCGATGAATCCTGAGCCGTGTGAAAGTAAATACACAAAAGGCCATGTATGGTATGATTGCTTTCACAGGAAATGTCCAGAAGTTCTGTGATTAGGAGGCATTGGGGTTTGGGGCAGGCTATACTCCATGGGAGGGTGTGGACACAGAAGGCCCCAAGTTCTATATGACAGAAGAGGAGGCGGCATCCAAAGCTCCTTAGACATGGGGCTGGGGAGAGGGCTCCGTCAGTAAAAGGACTTGCTATGCAAGCCTGAGGACCCGAATTCAATCCTCAGCACTCACATTTAAAAGCCGAGCATGGCGGCGTGCTCCTGGAAACTCCACACGAGGGACCTGGGGACAGCCTTATTGTGATGCCCACGTCTAAGGGACAGACTTGTCTAAAAAAGTGGATTGCGTTTGAGGTTCAACACCGAAGGCTGATGGCTGGCCTCCATTTACATGTGTGCACTTGGGCACCTACACACATGTGTGTGCATATACATACACCATAGAAAAAGAGTTGAGACGTACCAGATAAAAAGGATGGGACATGCAGGCATATTTGTAGTAACCAGCTAAGAGAATGGCCTGCGACCAGTAAAATTACTTTCCTAATGCAGGCTTTAGAAGATCAAAGGACCAGACACATCCTAAGTCCCTGCGGTACACCTCCATGCAATAAGAACTCACTTGAGTGTCCTCCACGTGGTGCTGCAGAATCCAGACTTTCCGAGGAAAATGTGGATGAAGACTCTGAGGAACTCTTCCCATCCAACCCTGAGCTCCCACCTTGGGGCTGTGGTGCAGTGTGTGAGAACTGAGTCAAAGTTCGAGTGATCCCAGCTTCTGGATGCAAAGCAGAGCTTTCTGCTGGAGCTGTAGATGTTTTGCTCTTGCTGGGGAACCATTGTCCTGTGTGCTCACCACCACCAACGGAGGGAACTGACCTAAACGCCAGTTCAGTCAGAGGCGCAGCACTTCCATTTCCTGCTTCCGAGCTGCTGGCAAGCTGATGTCCTCCAAAGGCTGTAAGATATTGGGGTGGGGGGTGGTCATTAGTGGACCTGGAAAAGATGCTTAACAACTAAGATGGCATCCCCTCTGAGGCAAGCTTCCCTCTGCCAAGGAATCTTGGACAGTGTTTATATGGGTCACCTTACAAGCATCACCATGTTCTAAATTTTAAAAAAAAATTATTGGATGTCAGCAATATAATAATATTAAAAATTAAAGCTGTGAACAGGAGACCTGAGGGCAGCATGGGCAAACAGTAATTTATAGGCTTCAGTGTTTCTCTCTGTCCCTTGAAAAGTAGCTCAAGGAAGGAGTCCTGACATCCAACAAGTTCAATGTGCACAAATATTGTAGGTGGAATGTTTTTCTAAAACAACAGCTGGAATACTGATAAATGTTCTTCTACTTCTGATGTGTAATAAAATAAACTATAAGGAATAAGCCAAACTATGATTTGGGAAATACATTTACGACAACTTATTTATAAAGAAGATCTATACACAAAATCACTGAAGCCAGCTGTAAAGAGCAGGTCGGCGTCTCACTTTGCAGATGACATTAAAGGATGAAGATGGGCCAAACCGTGAGAGCCCCAGGGCTGAGGTCTCCACTCTGCTCAGTAAGCTGTGTTTGCTTTACTTAAGCCCTTCAGGTCTTGGTGTTCTCATCTGAGGGATGGCACTTGTCCACACCCCAACAACAAAATGCAATCGTGTGACATGGCAAAAAGGATCTGATGTCATTAAGGACACACTTTTCTTCGGAGACTGCAAATGGTCTTGAGGAAACCCCCTAAGAACCTCCAACTCTATAAAATGTCCACAAGTCAAATGATGGAGAACTACTTACTGTGGGAGTCACTTTGCCAGGGCATGGATGGAAGTCCAAATCCGTTTTCCATAGATGGCCCCACGCCTTCTCCATCTCCCAGACTCTCAGTTAGTCCACTGTTTGTCCTTGAGTCAACCACAGAGGGTAAAGAATGGACTGAGGCTGAAGTTATGGCAATTCTGGAGTGCTCAGGGAAGCTCTCTGTCTCGTTTATAGGTTCCATACTGACAGTCAAAGACCGGAGCATTCTTGGGACACCATTAGTGAATGTGTTGGTGACATGTGTACTCTTTGTCTGGGTGACTGATGGGCTTTGGAGAGCAGTGGAGTTGTTAAAATCCTTTATGCTTCCAGAAGCTAAAACAGAAGAAAATGTGCTTCAAAACTACTGGAATGGCTAAGAAAATCAGGATTCTATCTAGGTACAAATGATGCTTATTACATTTGATACGTGAATCTGAATAGCATGGGTATAATAAAGAGCAGACACTTGTATCGTGCTGACACACACCAGTGCGACTAGGGGTCCCTCCTTCTCTTTCTCCTCACCAGTTCTGAGTCCCACAGAGCTGGTTACAGACACAGTCAGACCACTCACCATGCACAAGTTTTCTATGCAAGCAAAAAGGAAGACAGGAGAATCTCAGACAAAGAAATAATTTGTCTTGTTTTCTAGAGAGACACTGCATTCCACAGTGTAGGAATCCCACAGTACAGGCCACCGTGATAAGTCTGTGGCTGCCGGTTTGTTTTTAGCACGGTAACCCTTTTGTTCAAACGCTCTCATAGATTAAAATCCGGTCTGTAGCAGTTTGTGATCCAGTACGGGGTGTACAGCTGCTCAGCCAGCACTGAGGCTCTACAGAACACAGTCAAGACATTACTGGCCTAGAACAGTAGTTCCCAACATGGTCACCACCAAAGGCTCTTTATTAGTCCCTACATCGTGGCCACCATAAAGCTTACGCTTTGAGAAACCATTCAAACTACATTCATCAGCAGAACTACTAACCAACAGGAGAATGTTTTATGGCTCCGGGGAGTTTTATTTAATTTCACCTAAAAGCAAACAGATTTCATTATTGCAGTTACTGTATCTCACTGAGCTTTAGAGAGATGTCTTCAAACCAGTGTAGGACTCCAGAGGGCACTCCAGGAGACCAAAGACTAGGCTGGGAACAGTTTTTCTGATCGGTGAAACAGATGCCTGTCCTCAGACAGCAGTCAACAGCCTCAAGACTTCAGTTACATGCCACTGGCAGAATGCACGACCTGCTCCTCACCATGGATACCTGGCCGAGAGCTCCCTTCCACAGGGAGACTTTCCAAAGGTACTTAAGAACTGTCCTCTAGCACGCACCTCTCAGCCCCAACATCAAGGGCTAAGGATGCTGCTCAGTGGTAGAGAGCTCACTTAGCATGCGTCAGGCCCTGAGTTCAAACCCCAGCACCACAAGATATCCTTGTTAAAGGCAAGAACAAGGTGTAGGAAAGCCTGGGGAGCCAAACAGTAGAGGCAAAGAAAGAAGGTGCTTTCCTTTCTTTTCCACTCGAAGCCAACAGCAATAAAGAGCTGTCTAGACCTATACCGTGAAAGGCTTCCAGCTGTCAATCACGGCTCCAAAAAGGGAAAAAAGGAAGCTGCCATTATAAACCGTTCTTTGAAGACCATTCTTACGTGCAGTTGTGGCCAAAAGCACAAATAGATTTTAGACATAGTTAGAGAGGAAGTGTGAGAAAGAAAGGGTGCCTTTTATTCTCGCGCAAAACCATAGACCCCCTGACACCAGGAGCAGACTGCTGGGCAGGTTACTGACCTTAACGGAAACAGTCACAGGCCCAGGTTATCCACAGAGATAATGGATTAGAAAGATGTGGGTGCAGAGGCATCCAGCCCTGCTGGAACACAAACAAAAGCCAAAAACCACTTTTCTATAAGAGAGAAGTGATAGACATATGTCCCATAAATGGTCTCCAAATTACTTGAAAACCATTTTTATTTCTAATCAACTGCATTCTGTCATTTGTTCAATATTCCCACCAAAACACAGGGGTGGGGGATAGAGATGACTTGGCATTAAGAGTATTTACCGCTCCTTCAAACGACCTGAGTTAAGTTTGCAGCACTCACACTGGGTGGCTCACAACTGTCTGTGACTCTGGCTCCAGAGGGTCCAACACCCTCTTCTGGCCTCTGAGGGTACCTTTACTCATGCACAACCCCTCAAAAAAAAGCACATATACATGCCACTGCAAACAAAACCTACTGTGATGATTATATTGGATTCAGCTTGAAAAGCCAGGCCTGCCCATTTTGGTAAGTTTAGCAAATAAATGGCCACAGAAATACAATCACAAAGTTCACAAAAGCTGAGTCACTAAGGAAACCAGCTCTGTTTCCCACACCCCCAAGGGCTGTGCAGCACATTGCCACCCCACTCATCATGGTTGGACCTGATAGCACATGCTGCAATCTTGGGAGGTGAGGCAGGAAGATAGATCATGAGCTGGAAGCTAGTTTGGCCCGCACAGCAAGTTCCAGGCCCACCTCCACTACAAAGTAAGACCCAGTCTCAAAACTAAACCCAACGGTGGCTGGAGAGATGGCTCAGCTGTTGAGAGTACTGGCTGCTCTTCCTGGGGACCTGGGTTCAATTCCCAGTACCTACGTGGCAGCTCACAACTGTCTGTAACTCCAGTTCCAGGGGATCTGACACCCTCACACAGACATCCATGCAGGCAAAACACCAGTGAACATAAAATAAAGTTTTAAAAAATTCAGGAAAACAGCTACCCTGAAGTGAGCAATTGCAATGCCTTAGGCATTGTGCTAAGTGCCTTATATACACGTCTCACTTAGTTCTCACAGTGAAGGTGTGTAATTACTTCTGCCAAGCCGCGCCTCTAATAAAGAAGGGAATGCTTATGATCCTACACGGGCACCTGCTGCACAGGCAGGAGGAAACACATCACACTTCTGAATCAGTAAGCTGGCATCGTGGTCACCTTCGGAGTTTGAACCTCAGAAAAGGCAAAAAGAAAAAAAAGAAGGAAGGGAGGGAGGGAGGGATGGAGGAAGAAAGAGACAGAGAGACAGAGTGAAAGACGGGGGCAGGGGGGAGAGAGAGGAGGAAAGCTCAGCTAGGAAGCCGCTCAGCTACGGGCACCCGCCACCAAACCTGACAGACATTCAATCTCTGTGTCCTACAGGGTGTAAAGAGAAGAACTGACTCGTACAAGTTGTTCTCTGGCCCTAACACACTGTAGCATGTGCACTCCCCTACACAATCAATCAATCAATCAAATAAAAAATATAAATAAAAATTTAAAAACTTGTCCCACCCACTGGGACAAGGCCCGAGCTAAGCTCCTAGTCTTTCTTTCTAACAGGCCATGGAGAGAAGGCCCTGCTCACACGTGTCGCTCTCCAGTCACAGGACCAAACCCCACAGCCTCAGGCATCATTACATTGCTCAACCTTGACTGTTATCCAGAACTTCCCAGAAGAAGAGCTGAGGCAGCTGGTGTTAGAACGAGACAGACAGAATCCAAAATCTTTCAAGTTATTTATGTTCTCTCCCTTCACAAAGTGAAATCACCACAAAGCAATTTACCTGGACCACATCAGCTCGGCTGCCCACAGGAAAGACTTCCGTAAGTCAAGACCCATTATGACGCCCCAGCCCTTACTGAGTCTTACAAAATGTCACCTTCAAAGAACACCAGCGCGATTCTCACAAACCGGCAATGGAAAGATTCCTTACGTAAATATTCCTCTTGGAATTACTGCCCCTGAAACAATCATGCCTATGGAGTAAACCGTATGCTTACTTTGTCGGACAATAATCGTATGCTCCACCCTGTTTCCCTTTGTGCCCCCATTTCCAGGAAGCTCATACTAAATTTAGTGCTCAAGTGTGGTCACGCTCACACAATTCAACATACACATTTCTGCCTTGGGAAGAGCTTCCTCCCCTCCACCCTCACCCCTGCCATGTGTTGCTGTGTTGACAGCCCCACCCCCCACCCCGTGACCAAACAGCAGTACATGATCGTCGAAGAGACTTCGGAAAGTCCAGAGAGGCCAAAGCAGGAGAGGGTGGAGAGCAATGCCTTCTGGTCTTTCTTATAACCCCTGGCTCATCTTCCTGGACTTGCTTTGGTGCTGTAAGATGCAGTTTCTGTTCAGAAACGGACTAACTCCTGGCTGTCCAGGGTGTGGAAGAGGCTGTATTGAACAGTGTGTTCTAGTTTGTACTCTGGTGCTCTAATAAAACACTGACCAAAAGCCACTCAGGCAAAAAACAGTTTGTTCTAAAGTTCTAGGTAAAAGTCCATCACTGAGGCTGGACCTGAAATAGAACCGTGGAGGGGTGCTGCTCACTGGCTTGCTCCTCATGGCTTGCTCAGCCTGCTTTCTTATAGAATCCAGGACCACCTGCCCAGGGGTGGCGCCACCCACAGTGGCCTGGTCCCTTCTACATCAACCATTAAAAAAAAAAATGCCCCACAGACGTGCCTACGGGCCAATCTGATGGAGGCATCTTCTCAATGGAGGTTCCCTCTTCCCAGATAACCCTAGTTTGTGTCGAGTTGACAGAAACCCAGCCAGCACCACATGCTGGTGTAGCCAGGTGGCAGTTAGGAGGCCCAGTTGACAGCCCGAGTGTATATGGACCACACAATGTTGCCCCCTTTCAGATCAGCTGATCCCTTGCCACGTCCTTAGCTTGTCACCTGTGTGCACATCCTGGAGAGGCATCACCAACCTGACTGGTCTGAGTATTGGGCTATTCCCTAGGCCTCATTGCTAGAAACCCCTCACCACCCCCCACCCGGTACTCCATGGCTTGTCTTGAGCTGGCCAGCCAGGCAGGTTGACCCCAAGCCTGCCTCGACAGGTCCTGCTGGCTCTCCTTTGGCATTCTTGCCTGCATGCCTGTATCCTGTATCATGGACTCAGAAATGGACAGCAGAACCTTCAGGATTTCCTTTCAGTAGAAGGAGAGGTAGACAGAGCTTGCTTGGTAGGCTGGAAGGAGCCAGGCTAACTTTAAAAACAAAGCAGAAGTTTGTTTCCTCTTTTGGCCTCAGGTGCTGGGTAGGGTATGTCCTCTGCACCAAAGTCCTCTCCAGTGGCCATTTTAGAGGGTGGCCTGAGTCTACCTACAACAGATCACCCAGGTCACCAAGGGAGAGAAATCCTCAGTAAGACTCCAGGACTGTGAAAGATAGTGAAACTCCAAACATTAGAAATGGAAGGTTCTAGAACAGTAGTTCTCAATTTGTGGGTTGTGATCCCTTTGGGAGATTGAACAACCCTTTCACCTAAGACCATCAGAAAACACAGATATTTACATTACGATTCACAACGGCAGCAAATTTTCTGGTTGGGGGTCACCACAACATGTGGAACTGAATTAAAGGGTCACAGCATTAGGACGGTTGAGACCCACTGATCTTGAAGGACAACTGCTCAATGAATGAGGGCCAGAGACAGGCATGGTGGCGCACGCCTTTGATCCCGGCACTCGGGAGGCAGAGGTAGGCAGGTCTCTGTGAGTTCGAGGCCAGCCTGGTCTACATATGGAGTTCCAGGACAGCTAGGAACTCCATATGTAGAAAAAACTCCATAAAAAGGAAAAAAAAGGAAGACTATGAGGGTCAGTTACCTTTTAAACAAACAGATGAAGAGCAAGTCTGGTCCAATAAAGTTAGAAATGTGGACTCCTTTCGAAAATACCACAGTGCTAGGTTTAATGTATATTATTAATATTAAATGACCCTGACCAGAATTACAGTGGACATCCCTTGGAAATGCTTCTTTTCCTTTTAGCAAAGCTGGTTGTAAATCACCAAGCCACAGAACTCAGGCTGCCCAGGATCATAGCTTTTGTCTAATCCAACTAATGCTCATGAATGATCTTTTTTTTTAAAGATTTTTGTTGTTGTTGTTGTTTACACAGATGTGTGCGTTTGTGTGCATGTACTTGTGTATGTCTAGAAGAGGACATCTGATCCTCTGGACCTCGAGTTACAGACAGTTGTAACGTCAGGGTGCCACCTGATGTGGGTTCTCTGGAAGAGCGGGAAGGACTCTTAACCACTGAGCCATCTCTCCAAGCCCTTACGAACCATCTTAAAAAACAATCCCCTGCAAACGTGAACCGTGAATTCTGTCCACACCCGACAGTGGGAACTGCATGGCAAGCCTATGCAAGAAGACTGCCCTTTCCATGGGTAGTCCAGAGAAGACCTCTGGGCTCGGTTTTCACTTTGATGACATAAACCCAAACTCCCAAACTTGCAGAATACTTTAAGAAACCTCTGCCTTCATGGTTGGAGGAGCAGCACGTAAATCCTCACCCCGAGCTGAGGTGCTGTTGGTCGCTGATGGTTGCTTGGGGAGGAGGGTCAGTTTTCTTTAAGAGGTGAGGTTCCTGGTAGGTTGACCATGCTCCAGTGGGTGGCCCCACAGCCATGCATTTATGAGCAGCAAGGACTGATTCATAGGGAGCGAGGGAGCGAGGGAGCGAGGGAGCGAGGGAGGGAGGGAGGGAGGGAGGGAGGGAGGGCAGACATGAAGTTAGGAAATGGTGGTGATCTGGGAGGAGTGTGGAGGAGTTGATGGCGATTATGGGAGGGGCTAAACATGATTGAAATATACTGCATGCATGCATGCATGGAATTCTCAAAGAATAAATAAAATGCTATATATATATATATATATATATATATATATATATATATATATATTTTTAAATAAAAACAAAACGAAAACCTCTCTGACCTAAAAGGGTCTTGAAAGTGCCAATCCTGCCACTCTGTCTTGCGTCCCACAGGCCACGGCTAGAAACAACCTGAACAGCACGCAGAGGGGCAGTTCACACCATCTCTTTGGCTCATGGCAGGATGTGCCTCCTGGGGGAATCTGGGCACATGTGAGCCCCCAATTCTTAACTACTGACCCTTGCTCTGGAAGTGTCCTCGAGAGGACGGCGGTCTCTAGGCAGGTAGGCCTCAGATGAGCTGGAGAAGTGTGTGGCGTAGAGGCCTAGCAGAGTGGAGAAATGCTTGTGGGACAGAATGGCTTCGCGGAGGCTGGTGCACAGGAAGCAGCATGGCAGAATGGGACAGGGCCATTCTCTGCGGCCACAGGGCCTACCGAAAGCCGTGCAAACACCTACCTGTACTGGGTAGGCTATTTCTTTCCAAACAATGCCAGGAAAAATTACGGACCTATTTTCTCTGCTATCAAAGAAACTGCTTTTGCAAAAATAAACAAATGAAACTCAGACTGCTAATCAAATGGTGTAATGGTGTCCGGCTCGCATTTCATTCAAGCCCCCTGGCATGTGGCCTCTCCTGTAAGCACACACATCATTCAGACTTAATCTTTGTTGTATGTGTGTATGGAGAAGGCGGGGGAAGGAAAGGGGGAACAGGAGGTGTGGAACACAGCAGCCACCAGACTGGCTGATATTTCCCTCCATATACAGTTAAAACGTATTTTGAGCATAAACCTCAATATCGAGATAAACTGCATAGACCGTACTTCCACTCAAAGCACTTGGCATTGAAGGAATGGTTTTTAAATCTTCCTCTGCTTCCCCTCTTAGCCTGACACAGTACTTAACCAGCTAGTTATACACATCGATTTGGGGTTATTGTGACATTGGAAGGGTGAACTGGAGACAGGAGTACTCACACGAGGGATGGTCTGAGGGAGGTGGTCGACTCTGGGTCCAAGAGAATTGCAGCCCAGAGTGCTCCTGGCCTGATGAATTTCTCTTCTGGAAAAGCATGGTTGGCTTCCCAGATTCCAGGGCAGGAAGGGAGGCTTGGCTGGACATCCCCATGCCAACCACTTGTGTGTACACAGTCCCTTCTTCTGGGAGCTCCCTGGTCCTCTCCAGGAAGTCTGGGGATACTCCACTCTCGGTTTGAGAAACGGTGGTTCTTCCTTCTGACCTGGAACTGCCGGGTGACTGGGGGAAGCTCTCCAAGGCTGAAAGGCAGACAACAATTAAAATCCCACCAGCAGCTTCCAAATGTCTTATTACCTCTAGAGGGCTCAACTTCAGCTTCCACGAAACACACAGATGTGAGGAGAAGGCAGGAAGAATCATTCATTTTAGGAAAAATTAACTTCAAGAGAAACCCACCAACCAAAGACGGTCTTTTGACCTCATCAGTGGCCCTCGATGGGGGAAGAAATTATCAGTAATGGAGCACTCTGATGCTAAGCCTTAGATGATCTAGAGTTAGAGATCCGTGTTGGACCATGAAGACTTATCCCTCACCTTCCATAAAGGGTCCCAGAATGTCCCAGAATTCAATGTATGCAGAATTCCCCACACTGGACAATCAGGCAAACCAGAGAGTATCATATGCAGGACTTCTAAGCTCTGCGGCCTCTATTCACAGATGGAACACAAAATACCTTCATACATTTCCCTTACAGAGCTGGGTGCCCCCAGTCAGACCTGTCCCAAGGGTATGAAACCAGGAAGTCACCTTCAATGGCTTCAGCCTCCTCTTTGAGGTCTTGACCAACTATCAACCCCCCTTTGGTTGACACAGCTCTCGTTTTGTTTTGATTTTGTTTTTGGAGACAGGGTCTCACTATGTTGCTCTGGCTGTCCTGGAACTCACTACGTAGACCAGGCTGGCCTTGAACTCACTGAAATCCACCTGCCTCTGCCACCTGAGTGCTAGGATCGTTTTTTAATTTTAGTTTTTTTTTTTTTTTTTGGTTTTTCGAGACAGGGTTTCTCTGTGTAGCTTTGCGCCTCTCCTGGAACTCACTTGGTAGTCCAGGCTGGCCTCGAACTCACAGAGATCCGCCTGGCTCTGCCTCCCGAGTGCTGGGATTAAAGGCGTGCGCCACCACCTCCCGGCTTTAATTTTAGTTTTTGAGGTGGGGTCTCACGAAGCACAGGTTGGTCTCAAACTCAAAGATGACTTTAGCAACTTTTTTTTTTTAAGATCTATTTTTATTTTTAGGTGTGAATGTGTGTGCCTGTGATAGCCAGAAGAGAACATTGAATCCCCTGGAGCTAGAGTACTGGTGGCTGTGAGCTGTCCAATGTGGGTGCTGTGAAGCAAAGCTGGGTCTTGTAGAAAAGTGATTTTCCCTGCTGAGCTGTCTCTTCAGCCCAAGCATGAACTTCTGATCCTCCTGCCTCCACCTCCTGAATGCTGGGATCACACATGTGGTTTATATGGTGCCAGGAACTGACTCCAGGGTTTTGCACCTGATTGGTGGGCTCCCCCGCCCCTCCTTTGTTAAGCAATTCTTCAACACCTTCACCTGGTCAACGCTTGCTGCCTACATGTCTACCTGGATGGCTCAGCTCACTTCAGGTCCCCTTTACTCCCACATTAGACATCTTAGAGGCTGGCCACCGGCTGGCTCCTCTCTCAGACTGTTTTAACACCATCACTCCATTGTGCAAAGTACTTGCACAATGTACTTGCAAAGTACTCCATCATTGTCCCGACCCTCCATAGAGTTAGTTGTCCCGCCCACTGCTCTGTAACTCTCCCAGAGAGGACTCAGGCACCGATGCCCCACAGGAAGCCCACATGTGCTTTGCTCTCTCTTTTATCTTCGCTCACACTGGGCACCCCCTTCCTGAGCTGGAGCGCCCACTCACTCAACACCCGGGACTTCGGCTCTCCTCACTTGGAAACCTGCTGCCTGCTCTCCCCATACTGGGTTAATTAGTCTCCGAGCTTCAGTTTCCAAAACCTTAAAGCGGGAACAACACGGCCTCACCGGGCTGCTGGAAGGCTTGAGGGAGCAGGCTCGTTGCTGCTACGTAGGCGTGTGCCTAATTAGCGCTACTTTTCTTTGTCTTCGCTCTTAGGTTGAGCTGTACTCTTAGGGCTGCGGCCTCGTTTTGAAGCCCTTCCGCTGAAAATATTCAGTTACCCACTGTGTAGACTGGAGGAGCAAGAACCAGTCAAACTCCAGCGACACAAACAAAGCCTGGCCATCCTTCCCAACCCCTGGGACGTGCGAAGCGTGGCAGGAGCCCGGGAGGAGGGAGGTGGTATGGATTTAGACTGCCATGGAGCCTAGATGTCAAAGGACCCGCCAGGATGTTCGGCAAATCTGCACCTCCCGCTGGTCTGACTTTACAAGCTCGGCTCTCTGAGGAGGACTTGCCTGATACACCCCAATGCAGAACCCCTAAATGGGCCCAGTTGCTCTGGATGTGGGGGTGGGGTGGGAAGGAGGCAGGAAATGTGTCTTCTAGGACTGGACATACATAAATGAACCTCATGACACACTTACACGAGGAGCTGCCGTGGTCAGTCAGGGCCGTGGTGATCTCAGGCGAGCGCCCGGCATGCAGAACAGGGACGTTTGCTCGGCTGGAAGACTTGTCCCTCCCCTCGGCACCTGTCTCAGGTAGGAAAGAGGGGCTTCCTGGGGCTCCTGAAGAACTGTGGCTCATTCTGGCAGTCTGAGCTGTCACTCCCTTTCTGGAACCTGAATGGTCCCCTTGACTCTGATAAAAGGGGGTGTTTCCTGCGTGGGGTTCAGTGTTGTTACTTTCTGTCCAATGGTTCCTTGTGGTGGCTGCAATAACAAGCAAATGCATCAGGGAAAACTCAATGGCTTTTGAAAAGCAAACATGAAGAAACTTTCAGCACCCCAAGTGGACCCTTGGAGGTTATCGCCAACTTCATGACTTCTTAAAAACTCCATCTAGGGGGGCTGGGGTGATGGCTCTGCAGTTAAGAGCACTTGTTGCTCTTGCAGAGGACTGGAGTCCAGCCCAGCACCACACTGAGGGGCTCACAAATCCTTGCTCTCTAGCTTCAGGGATTCTGACGCCCTCTTCTGGCCTCCGAAGGCACCTGCACACACATGCACTGCTCATACACACACACACACACACACACACACACACACACACACACACACGTACACACACTAATTGAAAAATTAAATCTTTATACACCCCATTTTTATTTTCCTTATTTGAGAATATTTCTCTTTGTGCTCAGGCTTGGAGCCTGTGAAACCATGGGAAATTCTCAGTGGGAAGTGAATGAAGTCATTTCTATGTTTATAAGCCAAGGCAAAAATGTTAAACCATCTGATAAGCAGAGACCCAGGCAGGCAGAAAAATTATTTGTAGCTAAATATAACAAAGAAACAAAAAGAACAAGTTATCTTTTAGATTAGTATTGCCCACAGGATTAAGTGAGAGAAACCTACAATCCACAAAACTAACTTTGGTAGCCACTTTAAAATATATATGTATGTGAAATATTTTATTTTATTCAACATATTATTCCAATAGGAACTTGATATAAGAAATATCAAAACAGTAATTATATTTTTGTATTAAACCTTTAAGTTTAGTTCATATTTTACTGCTGCCCTCTTTATGTGTGTGGGTGTTTTGCCTTCAGGTACATCTGTATATCACTTTCACATCTGGTGCCCTTGGAGGCCAGAAGAAGGCATTGGATCCCCTGGGACCAGAGTTACAGATGGTTGTGAGCTGCCATGTGGGTGCTGGGAATCGAACCCAGGTCCCCTGGAAAAGTAGCCAGTGCTCATAACCACTGAGCCATCTCTCCAGCCCTTACTGGCCATGTTTCAAGGGTTCAATAACAAGGGGCGTGACCAATGGCTCAGTTACCTGAGGTGGGTTGGGAGGGGAGTACACAAGCTGCCCTAGGAGAGTCTGAGAACTTTCTCAAGGGGTTATTTCCTCCGCCAGTTCCTTGAGAATTACTGTTCATGCCCTGGCTCTCTTTCCTGGAGGTGATAATGAACAGAGGTTCCCTGGAGGGGAGGGAAGTCACTCAGGCACATGGGCTCCTCTGGGGTCCCAGCCTGACGGGCAAGGCCCACAGTAAGTTACAAGTTGGATGTGGGAGGGTGTTGCCAGAGGCAGCCACGAAGTCCCTAAGGTTATGAATGGCAGCGACCCACAGGGAATGCTTGTCTTACTCTTCCTTCTCTGCTTCGGAGGCAGTTGGCATCCCCAGAAAGGGTGAAGAGGCACCGAGGCATGAGGATGCTTTCTCTACCCTCTTGATTAACTGCGCACAATAACAAAATGACTCTCAAAGGAAATCAGAAAAAAGGGAGTTGCAGAAAGTCAGAAGGATGCCCCAAGGCCAGGAAGCCAGGAGCGAAAGGAAGATAATAAATTTAGCTCCATTAGAGCCTTTAAAAAAAGGCAGAGGCCCAGTGATAGCCCCTTCTTGAGATGATAGGAGTGGAATTCTCAGACCCCAAGCAGCTGCAGGAATTCCACTGGAGGAAAAGACTGGCCACAGGCAGATGGAGCACAGCTCACACTGAACCATACTGTCTCCCTGAGAGCAGACTACAGAAAGATGTAAGAACGGAAAGACGCACGCTATAAATAAAGCCACAAGGCTGACAACAGTCCTCTGCAATGTCCTCAAGAACCCTGCCACGATCAACAGCTAAAAACGCTGAATAAAATAGCTGTAAAGAAAAAAAAAAATCCTAAACACACTTCTGAGCTGGTGAATAAGGGAAGAATCAGACTAGGAACAGAGAAAGGTGAGCAGAACTGAAGCTGGCATTTCTTCAACATCTCTAGCCTTAACCTTCTGATGAACACGGGGCTGCAGGGGGTAGACCGTGAAAACTCTCCAGGAGACTAAAGCAGAACCACTGTGCCACGCTGCAGTCAGAAGGACTAGACCCTGGACAAAAGACACGGAAACTAAGCCACAGAGGGACAGCAAGGAAAGCTGGCCCTTCCATCTCGGCTTCAGAGGAAAGCTAAAGCGATCACAATCCAAGTCTATCAGCCCAAAGCCATCTCCTGAGGGTGTGCAGACTTACATTGCCTACACGATCCAAACCTCAAGTGGAGGGTGTGCTCAAGAGGAGTCTTGTGACTACACTAAAAAGACCACATCTTTACAAAGGTGATTTAAAGAGGTACACAGCGCCCCTCCCCTCCACATATCAGTGAAGAATGGGGAGCTGAGGAGTGACCCTGATAATGCCTTGAGGAACCTGGCAAAACCATGCGAACACTCGCTATATGAACATACTTCCAGATCAATTTCTGTCATTTACCAAAAACAAACAAACAAAAAAGAAAACTTCTAATAAGACATTGCAGTTAAAAAAATCACAAATATACTAGAAAACAAGTCATTCTTGAACAAAAGTCAGCAAATCAGGTAAGATTTCAAATACTAGAATCATTGAAGATGTGTATATAAACGGATGCCTGAACTCACACCCACATACTCCTGCACAGACACATGGTCACACAGGTAATTTTAAAAAAAGGAAAAAAGATAAGAGAATGCTAAGAATCGGGTAAGAAGACAGAAATTATAAACAAAAGTTTAGCAAATTAGAAAAAAAAAGCCAAAGCCAGGCGGTGGTGGTCCATGTTTTTAATCCCAGCACTCAGGAGGCAGAGGCAGGCGGATCTCTATGAGTTCCAGGCTAGCCTGGTGTACAGAGCGAGTTCCAGGACAGCTAAGGCTACACAGAGAAACCCTGTCTAGAAAACCCAATAAATAAATAAATAAATAAATAAATAAATAAATAAATAAATAAATGGAAAAGAAGCCGAACACATATCTAACTGGAGTTTTATTTTGAATTATTTTTTTATTTATGTTGGGGTGGGTGAGTGGGTGGGTGTCCCTGGAGGCCAGAAGAGTAGGTGGGATCCCCCAGAGCTGGAGTTACAGGAGGCTGTGAGCTGCCTAGCAATCATACGTGCTGGGGACCAAACTCAGGTCCTCTGAAAGAGCATCGATGTCTCTTAATGTATGAGCCATGTCTCCAGTCCCTAATGAGAGTTTGAAGAGAAGAGAAGGGAAGGCCAAAGGTCAATATTCACAAACCAACGAAAAGCATAAATCTTCAAGCTAAGGAATTCTAACAAACTCCTAGAGGATCTCTCTCTCTCTCTCTCTCTCTCTCTCTCTCTCTCTCTCTCTCTCTCTCTCTCTCTCGGTATATATGTATCTATATATCTATATGTATATATCTATGTATATATATATATATATATGTGTGTGTGTGTGTAGCTGATATATACTAATATCATAGTGAATCTGCCACAAAACCCACACAAGTTTTTAACTTAAACTCAACCAGAGACAAAAACAAAAACAAAACCCAGCAAATTATCTGCAAGGAAAAGTAACCCAGCCACTACAACAACGGAAACCAAAGAAAAGACAGCAGATCAGCGTTCACAGTGTGCTAAGAGAGAACAGCTGGAATCGCAAAGTGATCTTTCAGACGTATCCTGAGAGCATCAGGTAAAATGATTTTCACTCACCAGTGAGTTGATCAACCTCCCTCCCGGATGAAAACAAGAAATAAAAAGGAGGACATGACTGCTCCTAAGGAGTTGAGGTTTTTACTACAGATGTAGAGGAGAGCACAGGCAGAGGCAGAGTGAATATGGACCGACTGAGCTGGGCCATGTGAGGGCAGTGGGGAAGGAGGGCAAGAGAGGAGCCACTGACCATGAGGGGCCAGGAGGGAAAGGGGCCAAAAAACCCGAGTAACCAAAATGGCTGGATTATATAGGGAAGGGCAGCCCAGCTTTTGGGCTGGAGAGTTCAGGGTAGGGATTGGGGTATGCCAGCCATAGTCTGTAACAGATAGGGACTGAGGGATGCTGGGAGAACCTGGAGGCCAGCTTCAGCTTTGATCTGTTAATAGGCATCTCAGCTGTTGTCCCGGGTTTGAGACCCAACCCCTTCGCTAAGAGAAATGATAGAGGTTTGATTTCAAACAAGAAAGCAATCCTGGACACCCGAGGCAAGGAAGGCCAACGTGCAAGGTAAATGTGGGTGTGCATCTTAAGACACAGTGGATTCATCTTTTCAAATGTCATTTTTTTTTTTAGATTTATTTATTTATTATGTATACAGCATGTATGACAGCAGGCCAGAAGAGGGCACCAGATTTCATCACAGATGGTTGTGAGCCACCATGTGGTTGCTGGGAATTGAACTCAGGACCTCTGGAAGAGCAGTCAGTGCTCTTAACCTCTGAGCCATCTCTCCAGCCCCTCAAATGTCATTTTTTAAAAGTAATGGGATTATTACGGTGGAACAAACCCTGGCAAACAGGTGCATGCAGGGCGTGATCAGAGTCCTTGGTGCAGAAGGGTAACTTCACTGACGTACCTGAAGCTAACCCTGAGCAGAATTAGACTGCGTTGTGTCCAGTCTGGTAGACTCCGAAGGACATAAAATGTCCATAGAGAGAAATGAATGGGCATCGCTCAAAACCAAAATAAAATAAACAGACATGGACAAAATTATAAATGGGATCAACTAGAAGGGTTGAAAGCAATCAAAATTTCCACTTCAACTTTGTAAAGTCCATTTAATTGTTAAACTATATGTAGGTTTAATAAAAATAAACGCTAACGAGAGATGACGGGAAGACAGGGCATACCGGCAGCGTCGTCCGACCTGGGACTCACTGTGTGGCCGTACAGGCCTATTTTAATATTTGGTTTCCGGTTGTTGGTGGTGTTTGGGGAGGTTTAGGAGGCACAGCCTCGCTAGAGGAAGTACATCACTGGGGGT